GGTAAGTGAAGCAGATCCTTAAAATGTTAATAAGAGATTTTTTTTTTTTTGGTGGGGGTGTGGGTGGGTTTGGGGACAGTTGTGTCTGTGCAAATGCTTTGCTTTGGTTTGGACTGGATGGTCTGTTTTTCACAGCGATTGCACTTTCCTCACAGTCTCTGGGAGATCTCTCCGCCCTCACACATTGTTTTTAACCCCTTTCACTCCGAAAGCTCGTCCCTCCAAAAAACCCCAAACAATAATAAATTGGTCATTTTCAATCCACCGACTGTTTGTGGGACATTGCTGAGCGCAATTGGCTGCCGCGTTCGCCCACAAATATACAGTCAATTCACTTTACAGTGTGTTCTGTGAAGCGCTTTGGGACGTCCTCCCGACGTGAAAAGCGCTATATCAAATGCAAGGATTATTATTATTATATTATTATTATTATGTGTTTAACTCCATAGTCAAAGGTTTCAATCGACAGACTAAACCATGCACAGCGAACCCACCCTCCAAAATAAAAATTGCTATTAATATGATATAATATTAATATGATCTTTCTCTTCCCTCCTTTACCAGGATTGTTTGACTCATTTGTTTTTCTCTCTCTCACTCTAGATTGCACTTCCATGAGTCTCAGGGTCATCTTACCCTCAAATAGTATTAATGTGTCAGGCTGCCTTGACAGCAGATGTTGTCAGATGTTCCCATTGGATTGTAGGGGACATGGCAAACCTGGTCTCACCTTCTATCAAACCAGTAAGCTCAGCTCTGTAAAGCTTCATACACACTGTGCATTTCTACTGCATTGATTAACTCATTTGTTTAGGAAATCACAGAGTAATATCTTCATACGTTTCTGCTGCACGCTTTCAGAAATGTCTTGCATTCTTTTATTTGCAATAAATGATTACCCGAAATTTACAATCTTTAATATGTTTATTACTTTTCATTTGGGGTAGGTTAAAAGATTGGTGATAAAGTTATACAACCAGTTAGGAATAAGGATACTAAGGGATATGGAGAACAGGGAAATGGGATTAGAAAGATAAAGAACTGCCATGAACTAATGAAAGAGAGGTGTACGATCCTGTGGCTGAGAGGCTTACTCTTTTTTTGGAAGAGTTCTTATTTTAGTAGAGTTTTGTTGGTAAAAGGCACTGCTTTGCCTCCAGGAGCTTTTAGAATACATAAAAGTGCACTTGCCAATTCATTTACCCATTCCATTGGAAAACATATAATTGTAAGAGGTGATGAGTTGAAGATCTTGGTTTACTCAACGTCTTAGGTCCACTATACAAAAGAACACAAGAACTTGCTCGGTGAAAGAAGACCAAAATCCATCCAGTTCGCCTTCCACCATCCTGGCAGTCGGATGACATGTCATGTCCCAAACTATATATTGTATTCCAAGATGTTATTTCCAAATAGAAATCTATCTAATTTGTTCTTGAAAGAATTGCCACTTTCTGTTTCCACCAGCTCCCTTGGAGCCTGTTACATACGTTTACGACTCGCTCACTGAAGCAGTGTTTCTGCAGATTTGTTCTGAATTGTCCCGCCCCGTCAATTAAGCATTCAAAAGTGCAATGATAAACAATGATAAACACAACCAACCATCCAACTGCCTACTTTATGTCAGGAACACTATGTTCAGACCTGAAGGAACCTGCAAGCCTGAAGACTCAGTAGCTCAAAAGTGGGCAGAAATAAGAGAATTGCGTCAAATCAGATGTGAATGCACCGAAGCACAAACAAGCATGTTACTTGAAAGCTTAATTGGGTAGACGTATGAGAGCACCCACACGTACACTTTTATTGTTACTCTTTGTTTGAATAAAACAAAGGATCTAAATTAATTGATGGGATATATCAAAAACAGAAATATATTTGGGAGAAGGAAACCAGCAGAGGGCAGAACCTCCTCGAAATGATGAGAGCCATAGGATAAACAGTGTTCGTGTTTTGCTTTTCTAGTTTGATGTATTGGATTAAAAAAAAACTCTTTTGGAGTTCTTTTCCAGGTGAGCTCCCTTTTTTCCCCATCTCACTTAGAAGACACATTAACCAGCATATTATATGCCAAACAGTTGCACTGAAAGTCAAAATGTTTATTCCCCAAAATCATCTCTGCACAATATTTGGCTTCAACTTCACCAGGGAAGCAATGCAAGATTATGGTGGATACCTTTATGGATTTAAAGACCAATTTAGTCTGTCCAGCTAGGAAATCTCTTGACAGATATTTAAGCCAAGGAAAGGAATTCCATTTGCTCCAAGACAGAAAAAGCGTAATATCTGAAGCCATTGCCATGGTATATATTGTTAATGGTATGCTTGATCTACGGTTGCTGTTCAGTTGGAGGCACCAGTGATAGTTAAAATATGGGAAAGGAAAGAACAAATGGTGTTTTATTGGCCCCCATGGATATAATGACAATGAGATCAAAGCAAAATCTGTACAACATCTGTGGATGTTACACATTTGTTTGGGTTGGTGAAACTTTAATCACAGTGAGGCCAGAATACAACAGGGCGATTAAACAGTAAAACTCAGAATACACTCACAGATTTACTATTGATCACTGATGTCCTGTCTCTCGTGTCATTAAATGGAATAGCTATTGTGTATAGAATTACTTGAACTTCTGTATTTTTGCTTGTAGATGATTCAAGCATTTCCATAGCAAGTGAAGACACAAGTGGGGGAAATCTTGATTTCGTATTAAGAACTGTTGTTATAAAAAAAAGCTACATGTTGTGAATGTTTAGCAGCTCAAAACATAGATATTGTCTCAAATGCAATTATGCTCTAATTGGGACGTCTTAATGTCCTCCATACAGTTTTCCTGTTGACATTTAATATTTTTAAGGTCATGTTGTTTTGAATTAGTATCAATAGTTTCCATTACCATAAATGTTTTCAGTTATTTTCCAATGAAAGAGGCAACTAATCCCAAAACTACATTTCAAACCGTTTTTAAAAAAGTGTTCTCAAACTGCAGGCAGTTTGTAAAAGATTAATGTGTAGTGTAAATCATTTTATTGTGAAACTCAGGATAAACTTGCTTTTAAAGGTACTTAACTTCCAACAATGTGCAAATCAGGACTGAACTTTTTTAATATGAACCCTGGGTGTACTTGGTCTGGGAAATACTGGATGTTGTCATTTTATGAGGTGGAAAAAATAGAAAATGTCTTCTGGGGCACATATTTCTTCTTTAGAAGTGCTAATTATGATTAAGAATATCCATGTTCAAGTACTTAGTTACTGTGCAATCTGAAAGACATGTTTGCAACAGAAAGGCAGCCTCCATTAATTATTTGTTCAAAACACCGGGTTTTGGAATTGTTTTTGGCTATGATAATAATACTTGCATTTGATATATTGCTTAATCACATCGAGACATCTCAAAGTGGGTGAAATCCAGCAGCCAATTGCGCACAGCAGTGTCCCACAAACAGTTGTGGATTGAAGTGACCAATTTATTATTATTTTTTGAAGGAAAAGCAATCCACCAATCGACTAACAACCGGGTTCCTACTTACTGCTAGGTAAACAGAAGTGTGTGGAGTAAAGAAACTTGCCCAACACTTCACCCTGCCAGGAATCAAACTCAGATCTCTTACTTGCGAGGCAATTGCTCAACCACTGAGCTACAGGTCTCCATGATCAACAGCAGCAACAAAATTACATCTGTAGTGCCTTTCATGTTGGGAGGACGTCCCAAGGCGCTGGACAGAGTTACGGACCCAAGCTGGGGGGTGGAGGCCAGGTGGGGGAGGGTGGAGGCCAGGAGGGCAGCAAGGAGATTGAAAGCACGGTCGAAAAGAGTCTTGAGGTGGGTCTTGAAGGTGGCAAGGGAGGGGGCGAGACGAGGGGACTGCGGGATGGAGTTCCAGAGGGTGGGGGCAGAATAGCAGAAGGCCCACTCGCCAATAGTGGGCCAAGCAGGCGGGGGCAGTGAAGCAGGCTGGAGCCCGCTGAACGAAGGGAGCGAACAGGATAGTAGGGGGTTAGAAGGTCGGAGAGGTCGGGGGGAGCAAGACCATGGAGGGCTTTGAAGGTGAGGACCAGGATCTTGAACTGTATCCTCTGTGTGATGGGAAGCCAGTGGAGTCGGGCGAGGATGGGGGTGATAGGGTCGCGGAGCCTGGTGCGGATTGCAGAGTTCTGGATCATCTGCAGCCTGTGGAGGGAGGAGTTGGGGAGGCCGACAAGCAATGAGTTTTGTAATGAAGGCATGTATGAGGGTTTCAGCGGCCTACAGTGTGGGGTAGAAAGGATAGTTGAGGTTCAAACAAGACCCCAAGGTTCCAGACTGGCTTAGCAAGGTGGAGTGTGCAACCATGGATGGTGATGCTGTCAGCGCCCGAGATGAGGGGACGCTGATGGGAGCCAATCAGGAGAGCCTCAGTCTTGTTGACGTTCAACTGAAGAAAGTTAGCTCTCATCCAGGACTTGATGTCTGACAGACATTCTGTCAGGACAGCAGTGGTCCTGGAGTCAAGGGTGGAGGCAGAGAGGTAGAGTTGGGTGTCATCCTCATACATGTGGAAGTTGACCCTGTGTCTGCGGATATCACCAAGAGGGAGCATATAGATTTTGAAGAAGAGGGGACCAAGGCCAGAGCCCTGAGGAACTCTGCACAAGACAGTCCGGGGGTTAGAGGAGAAGCTGTTTGAAGAGATGAAGTGCAGGCGGTGTGAGAGGTACGATCTGAACCAGTCAAGCGCCGTGGAGATTGAGGTGAGAGGAGAGGTAGTGGATGAGGATAGAGTGGTCAATGGTGTCGAAAGCAGCAGAGAGGTCAAGGAGGACGAGGAGGCAGAGGAAGCCCTGGTTGCAGATGGACAGAATGTCATTTGTCACTTTGACCAGGGCTGTTTCTGTGCTGTGGGCAGTTAGATATGAACAAAAACAGATCATACAAGTAAGCAAATGTACGTTTCCAAGACTGGTATTTATCCTGCATGGCCTTTCAATTTTTAATTGCACCAATAAGTCAAAAATATTGGATGGGTTTTCTATTGATTTAATAAGCTCTTTTCAAGCATTTTTCTATAGATCGAAGCCTTTAGATTTGTTACCGCTGAACAGAATAACAGCAATTTTGCCATTTTCTTTGATGTTGGTTGAAAGTCACATCATTTGACGCTCTTTGTGAGAATGAAATGGGGTCCTTCACAAAAGGAGGATTATTCCTTTCACAATAATTTGAACAAGTGACCTTAATCAATGACAGAAAAAAAATCAAGAATTAGTCACAAAAAGCAAAATTGTTTCTGCCTTACAAGCAGCATCAACTGCAAATGATAACAAAAAAAAGCTCCCTGAATTGTAATTGTAATGTAACATACAATTCATAAATACATATTTTCAAAACTTCAAACAAAGCATTTGTGTGGTTACACATATTCTGTATTTCGGACAAAAATATTTCAGTAGCAATGAAAAGACGACTGCAATTATACTAGACATCTGAAAAATACAATATGAATAGTAAAAGCTAACATTTTTCTTTTCTTTCTGACGTGTGGTTAACTCTTGATCTCAATGTCCAGAACAAAGAATAGATTTAATCTGATACAGAAAACTAATTTTTTCAAATGATTTCGAAATAATCTTTATGTTTCTCAAAGGAGGGACATATATGCTTTATTCGTTTTGTTTTGTGAGATTAGACACATCAAGGAGTCCCAGGTTTCTCTGTGCAACGTATGGCCCACTACTCAACTGTAGATGTTGTTTTGTACAGTTCGTTCTTATTTCCTTCAAATATTAAAGTTTTGTGAATTTGGTTTTAACTGCTGACAGTGTTGACGGGCATCTGGATTTGAACAACTTCACCATTTTCTCCTTGTTGAATCTGGATCGCTCCATGTTCAATTTGCAATTCAGGCTGGATCGTGGCTGCCAGAGATTCCGTTCCCTGAATAGAGAGAAAGTCAAACTGTTACAAGTAGAATTCTATGAAAACAAAGAATAAAATGTTATGTTGTGCATTCTTAACTATTTTCTTCATTGTGCATACTTTTCAATCTCTACTTTTGTGATTTCTTCCAAATTAAAAATATATATTTAAAACAGCTTGCAACTGAGAAGCGATTCACAATTACATGTTGGAAATGCTGCTTGAGGGCTCCCCATTAATTTAATGTATCTAGTGAATAGCTAAGTCAGAATAGGCAATACAGAATGGGATCAACAGCAAATACCCTCCACACAAGGTTCAAGGTTCAAATGTTCCATTCATATACTGTTGTACAGTATAACCCCCCACCCCAACCCCATTTTCCACCCCACCATGGGATTTATGTGAGTGGGCTTTTTTTGCATTGATCACTAGATTTCTTAGTAGAATAAGTGTCTGATAATAAGTGTCTGATCAGAAAAGCTTCAAGGCTGCCATTTTCAACAAATAATATAAATCATACCAAGCAAAGCTCAATTATGGATAGGTACAATCAAACTAGCCAAATTTAGATTGGCCCAGTATTTTGCAAGGGCTCTGTGTTCAACCCATTGATAGTGGAAGTCTGGTGTAGCTGCCAATAATGTGGAACACAGCTGTATTTTCTGTTATTTAACATGCTCATAAAAGACATGCCAAAATTGTTGGCCCAAATCTATATCTAGTGTTTTTACTACAGTCAGTTCAATTGTGAAATAAATTACACTGCCATCTTATTTATTTGAAACCGCATCTATAACTGAAACAACAGTCTCTTAAATATATATTTTTCAAATAATTTAGACACATCACTCACAGAATACTGCAATTTCACAAAAAACAGACTGACTTAAATATTTCCTCCGAGGCATAAAAACTGCATGCTAAAAATCAGGTTCATTGTACTGACTGTATCTGTGCATAGGTCCAATAAACCACTCCACTACCCTCTGTCTCCGCTCGGCTAAACCCTGGACTCCTGCTCATCCCTCGTCCCCTCTCCCCTGCTCCACTATTGGCGGCCATGCTTGCAGGCGCTATGCCCCGATGCTTTGGAACTCTCTTCCTTAATCCCTTCACCTTGCCCCCTCCTTCCCCTCTTTTAGATCACAGCTGAAGGTTTTCCTCGTCACCTCCCCCCGGCTTGGGGTCAGGCTCCGCCACTGTTAAGCGCTCCGAGACACTGCCCCGTGTGAAGGGGGCACTATTAATGTAAGTTGTTGTTGTCTTTCTCTTCCAGGTGCAGATACACCTGCTCTATCAATTGATATTTTTACTGTTATTTCAGATTTCCAGCATTTGTACCTCTAGGTACAGTTTGGATCAGATGTAGGTGAAACTCCTCTTCTTCACTTGAAGAATATGCTTCAACACACATTCAGAAAAGCCTTCTACTGCATCACTGTGACATTTTCCCTTCATGCTTCAACTACCCATAATTAACTTAGTGCGAATTAGTACTGAATTATCAACATATAACAGTGAGATATAGGCTGTAGATATAGGTCCACAAGAAATTGGATTGCCATCCCCCAGTAATTATGAACAACTATGCTTGAATTAAACATGAAATGTTCTGACTTATAAAACTCCCACTTTTACTTATAAGGATGCAGATTAAATAAAGACATTAATCTTCATTTGTTATAAATGCCAACAGTTAACATTCTGGTCATAAACTGGCTTTCCTAATCTTGGATGCTTCCAAGAAGTTCAACCACCAAACACATCCAATTATCAGACGACAAGAACCAAGAGGGGGAAAAAAGTTAACACTTGATATATTAATACTGAAAGACAAAGGCAAAAAAAATGGAAGATCAGTTTTGTTTAAGAAAAACATATATGCAATAATGAGTTAACGTTTGAAATCTGCATTACTGTCTCTCTCTTTGCAGTTTTGAGCTGGAGATCTATAATTAATGATCTGAGTAATGTTTTTACTCCCATAAGTTTCTGCTCATGGGAGTTTGAGGGAACTACTCATTTTCCATGTATTTTACCATTAGATTTCCCTTAGGGTGACATCATCATCTTAAATAAACCCATAAAACCTTTCTGTGTGTGTGTGGGTTGGCACTTCCCCATAAACTCACTTTATGAAGCATAAACATATCGATTGCAAAAAAACTTTTGGACAAACCAGTCGCTCCTATAAAACAAATCTGGTAATGTAACATATTAAATAATAAATAAAAACACCTTAAAATGTAATAAGTACTAATTTAAGTCAGCATCACAGCATGAGACTAAAATATATAATACATGTTTTAGCAGATATGAGAAGTGCTCGAAGAACAGATATGAGAAGTGCTTGGGGAAGATAAGTTTGTAGGGCTATGGGGAGAGAGCGGGGGAGTGGGATTGATTTTGTTAGCTCTTTTCAAAGAGCTGGTGCAGACACAGTGGGCCAAATTCTATGATTTTATGATGAACTATTGACCCTTTGAAGGATTCTGTGGGTCAAATGCCAAAACTGTTGGTCAATGGGTCTACAGAGAAAGGGATTAACATCTTTACAATAAAATGAAAATAGTAGGTTAAAATGCCATTATATTTTATTTTATACTTGCTGTTAACTTTTGTCTTGAAATTATATTTGCATTTTGCCCTTTAAATGTATTTTTGTGATCATCAACCTTCCTATTATGAGTCATGAATAAGGTACAAGGTATATGCCACACCATTCAGTCCACCAAAAATTAATACTGGCAGACTTTCCTGAATTTTGCCATAACAAACCAAATGTTGCTAACACAACATACTGCAGTTACTCACAAATATTCATTTTGGGCCTTTCCCTTTCTGTGCTGATGGGCTGCAAGCAGAGTCAAAGACACATGCAGCAGCAAGTCTCCTGAGCGTGACAGTTAAGTGTAGCTTGGCTTCCACACTGTATTATAACTTTCCCTGACATGTACTAGCAATATGGGCAAGTAAACTGGCTTCAAAGTTATTTCCTACACTTTTTGTGACTAATCTTCACCAGAATTGTGGTATGTGCCAAGCTTCAAACTTAAATCTGAATGTGTAAACTTTACATGTTGAGTCTCATCTCTGAATACATTTATTTATCACTCCTTGGGGGGCAAATTGTCAGTCTGGTCACAGAATAAATCTCTCTGAATGATTTAAAACAACATTACGTGGACATCCAAAATCTTCAAGCTGTATTGTGGGGAGAAGAATTAATCACATAAAAAGGAATTGGGACACACAAACACACACAAATAAATACCACTTGTGATATATACGCCTGTAAGAGTTGGATCTAATAGTTTGCTTTTTAGTGTCCGAGAAACTATGGTAAAAGTGCCCCCTCCAAATCAAATGTTGAACTGGAATATTTGGGCTTTGTCCTTTCGTTGAGACAATTAGCAATTTGATGTGGCAAATTTCTTTTTACACATACATCTTAATCCTGTGGTTAGAGCACTGCCTTGCAAGCGAGACACCCGAGTTCAATTCCAGGCAGAGGGCGAAACCTTGGGCAAGTTTCCTTACTCCACACGCTTAATAATAATCCCTCCAAAACAAAACAATAACAAAATTGATCATTTTCGATCCACGACTGTTTGTGGGACACCACTGTGCGCAATTGGCTGCCGCATTTCGCTCATCAATATACAGTCAATTCACTTTACAGCATATTCTGTAAAGCACTTTGAGACGTCTAGAAGACGTGAAAAGCGCATTATCAAATGCAAGGATTATTATTAGTAGTATTATTATTATCCATATGAAAATTGCTGCCTCTAACCTAAAGATTAAACGGTCCAAACAATTTAGTAACATTGTGGCTCAAATCTCCAAATGCTGCCTTTCCAATCTCAGACATGATTATAATCATCTCAATTTTAAAGAAAAAGCTCCAACCTGTCCATTCTTTCTTGATAACAGTACCCAGTTATTCCTAGTAACATCTTTCTATGACAACACTGTATTCTCTCCAATGCTACACTATCCTTCCTGTAATATAGTGATCACAACTGTGCACAGAACTCCAAATATACTATAAAGTGGTTTGACTGTATTTTGTGGGCGAAACATAAATAAAATTATAGCTCCAATTTGGAGTCTCATCACACAAGGACATTTAATTTTAAATTTATAAAAGTTTAATTATTTATATTTTTATTGCAGTCTAGATTTTCTGAAGGATAACGCAAATATCGAGATACTGTATATCCTGGAATATTCCTTTAAGCACACTTTTTTAAAAAAAACAGGTTAAATATTTTTGGCTGTAAGTGAAATTTCCATTGGCTCCAAAAGTGTACAGAGGATTGCTTAATTGGCCCTAAATTAATAAAATATGATCCTTAGAGCCAAACTATTCAATTTCAGCTTGAAAACCAGATGTTAGACAGATCTTAACACTTTTCTTCGTCATTTTTAGTCAAACTAGCAGCCGAGTGTCACAGTTGCTTGGATGAAAAATAATTCAGTCACAATTCTATTCCAAGTACAACAACAATAACAACAAGATTACATTTGTACAGCGCCTTCCACGTCGGGAGGACATCCCAAGGCGCTGAAAGTACTAGTGTCCAATATTAATATCTGAACCACAATACTACAAAGAGAATGAAACAATACAGGAGTGAAAAATCCGAGGTTTCATAACAGATTTCACGTGATATTCTGTTAACAAATACCATTTTTTCATCCATTTCTAAACATAGGCCATGGAACTGTATAGCCTCTCACATCCCAACTTTGACATAATGGTTTGGTTCAAAGGTTGATTTAAATATTTTTCGTGCTATCTTTTTAGCTATGCAGTCTTAGCTGGTTAGACTCTAGCAGTATCCCAACAACACTCTCTGGAATCCCCAAGCCTTGGCTCTTGCCAACCTAATACTCTTGCCAGCCTAATTCTCTCAGGAATTTGGTAAGCAGGGTGCATCCCTCCAGGGAGAGAATGTGCACTCCATTCCAATAAATATCTCTGGTACTCTGTTTTAGATATTCTTAAGCATGGTGATGGGTTTCCACATGTGTTGGGTACCCAGCTAACAAACAAAATCCTAATTTTAGCAGGTATTTTCTTGTCAATCTTCTAATAACATTAGAAATGTTAGTTTTTTTTTAACCACTTCGATTGATGCAATAGAGAATGTAAAGTGTATACACGGTGAACAAAAACTTGTGATACCATTACAATGTCTAATAAGTCTTTAAAAATATATACGTTTTAGATAATAGGGTAGTTACCACGACTTTTTGGTCACCATGTAATAGGGTTCCGGTTCCACAAAAAAATTGCTTCACCAGTAATGTATTTATTTATAGCACAAGATTAAAAAGTATCTTAGTAAATTGAGCATAGTATTTATTACAAATTTCAAATAAAAGCTTCTCCTGACTTTTCGATGAACTTTTTCCAATCTTCAAATGTAAACTGAAACCAAATAATGATTATTAGATAAATTAAAGCATGATGTTTTGTGAATCATTTCTGAGACTATTGTATGAAAAAAGTTTGTTTAAAAAAAGCCTATTGTTACAGAAGTGACTCTCTAAACTTTTGAAATCTCTATAAGATTACCCGTAGAAAGGAACTACATATCCATAATGACCACCCAAAAATCAGTTCTAAATATCTTGGAGGATATTCTGTTTCATTCACAAATTGCAGGGAACCTAATAATATGCATTTAGAATGAGAAACCCTTAATATAGCTCTTTATCTTTAATTTAATATAGCTCTTTATCATATTGTCAGTGTGTCTCAAAGTGCTTCACAAGAATTACTATAAAGTGTAGTGACTGTATATTTATGAATGAAGCAGCCAATCTGCACACAGCAGTGTTCCACAAATAGCCATGAAGTGATTGACCAATTGTATCTGGAGGATTGGTCAGGAAAATGCCTTATTTGTTTGAGTGGGTTCTTTAACATTCACTGAAACAGGCAGATTAGATCTCAGTTTTAAGTCTTATTTGAAGTACAGTGCCTCTAATAATGCTGCATTCCCCAGCAATGCACTGGAGTGTCAGTCTAGTCTATGAGCTCCCCCCAACCCTCTTATTCAGAGGCGAGAGTGATATGAACTGAGCCAGCTTGATACCTACGAGAAGTATTTAGAGCAACAAGGAGCTGGCACCATTGGACACAGAGATAATAGGAATAATAAAGATAATAGGAATAATAGAGATAATAGGAATAATAAAGATAATAGGAATAATAGAGATAATAGGAATAATAAAGATAATTGGTGCAGAAGAGTAAACTGGAAATTGTAACTCAGTTGTTTAACAACTATGGTTTCTTAAGAACAGTAGCTGTTAAACAGCTGAATGACTTCTGGGACCTGGCAATAAAAATTTAAATTCCAGACAGCTAATCTCATTCCACAATTCCATCTGTTTTTCCATGTGCCCGTAAAACCTGTGCCCTTGATTATAATGACTCATTCATTAATTTATCTTATATAACAAAGATTCCAGAGATGTCAAGACTCTCATTCAGTTACTCACTTGAGCTGGTGTGTTGTGATCTGTTACTGGTGCAAGTTGTACATATTGCACCTGGATGTCATTTCCCTGAAGAGGTGATCCATCTACAGTACTGGCTGGATGTTCAGATGCCACTGCAATTAATTGTGCACCCTGCAACACCTAAAAAAAATTAAAAACACTTTATTATAATAATCCTTACATTTGAAGCCTTATCCTTATCATGTTTTCAAGATGTCTCAAAGTGCTTCATAGGATATACTATATCAAGTGTAGTGACTGTATTTTGTGGGCGAAAATAAATATAATAATATAATAATCCTTGCACTTGAGATAGCACTTTTCACGTCTTCTCGACGTCTCAAAGCCCGCCACAGAATAGACTGTAAAGTGAATTGACCGTATATTTGTGGGTTAAACGAGGCAGCCAATTGCTCACAACAGTGTCCCACAAACAGTCGTGGATTGAAAATTACCAATTTATTATTGTTTTTTGTTTTTGGAGGGATTATTGCAAATGCAAAGTGAATGTATTTACAAATGCACTTTTAGGTTAATCTTTTCTCTGCATGCTGCTTAAAACAATGGAGTAAAGCAAAATACTAAATACATTGAATGGCATGAATGGAACATGAAAGATATCTGTTTTCAAAAAACACGACTGATACTAAGGTCGAATGAGGTGGTGGGCATCTTGAAAGGAAGAATTGTATTTAATTTGAAATCCAATTTTTGTACAGAATATTCAGTTCAACAGGTATTATTTGTATTTGATTGAGCACCTTAACACGTCTATGTTCTTCAAAGGCTTCAAACAGGTTATATTGGCATATGTGAGAGAGAAGGGTATCAGAAGAGGCAGAGCAAGGGGATTTGGATGGATGAAAGCTCATGTGAAGTATAAAAAAGGATGGACTAGGTGGGCTGAATTTCTTTCTTTGATACTATAGATTCTACGTATGTAATTGTATTTATGTAAATCACTTTGAAGGGTAGCGGTTAATGTTTATTAACAAACTGATTGTTCATGTTTAGCCTGAGTTATTAATGGGAATTTGGTAGCGTAGATTTCTAGATCAGGATTCTTCGAACTTAGCTCCTGATATCCTTGTAAGTCAATACCCTAATCGGTAGGGTGGTGCCCGCTGTACAAACAGTACGGGTATTGGTAAACTGTCCGGGATTAACAGTAGCCCAATGCAAATGTCGGGGGTGGTTCTTGCCTTAGCTTCTGCAGCTCACTCCTGTGTGAACATGGCCAGTGTTCCTCGGGGGAAAGATTCGGCACTAACTGGAAACTCTTAAGCATACCAAAGATAATCTGTTGACAAAGAATTCCGATAAGAAGAATCCAGTCTTCTTGTACACAAATTATATGCAGCCAATTCTCAATTATGATTTGGATTTTCAGCATTTTTCACGTTGGTCTCTGCAGGGCCTCATCTGCTGAAGAATTACTTTTTTTTAAAATGTACCAATTTGCCATACTGTGTTTAGGATACCAACTTCTACCCACAATTCTGCACAATAACAGCAAGGAGCTGGAAAATGCATTAAATGCTTTATGAAATTGATTCTCAGTTTTTGCTTTGAGGATAAATTAAGCTGGAGAAATTGCTCTGTTACTAACAGGAAATATACTATATTACCACAGCTTGAATCATGCTTCAGTGAGTTGCATTCATCTCTATCTTTAAACCTCTGTGTGCAAGGAGTTTTAGTTGCCAATACAATCTAGGGAGGGTTACAGAGGCAAGAGAAGAATGTGCTAAGATTTCCCACTGACAATTTGTGCAGACCGTTTGGGTAATATAGAATATTAAGCTTAGCTAAGATTCTGATGTTCTTCACACAAATATGAGAAACCAGACCTAAACACTAAAGCACGCTAGTTAAGTTACAATAAGTATTGCAGAAGACTGACAATTGATTACACCTTTTCAATACCGGGGGTGGATATTGGCATGGAGTAAGCCATCCTGCTTAGCTTTGGACTGTGTTGTAGGAACAGATTTTTTGCAGCCCAACAACAGGGCTACAGAATTTCTCAGTGTCCAGACAAATGGTTTAAACAATGCTTTCTAATGGTAAGTATATCTATGCTTTCTTGTAATTTACACACCTACAATTAGGTTTTCCAGTTATTTTCAACAGGTGGTTACTCCAGGGCAAATCAAGACATGATTACAAAATTAGAAGCAAAATGGCTGTAGCTGAAGAGAGTTTACAGCTGGATTGGTTTCAGTGAGTAACATAAATCAATTAGTTATTGACATTACTTCACAATGCTGAAGATAACGTACCATTTGTCCACCCACTGCACAATTAGATGCTAAGAAAGAAGGCACTTCCTGAGTGGGAGGATTACAAAACATCATACAAGCGGAGCCACATGCACCTCTATCATCTGGTTTCAGAGTAACATGGCAGCAATCCAGGATTTGCCTGGCCTTTTGTCCTATGGAATGTGTGTGGTGTAGGAAAGGTTTAAAGAGGAAACGGTTTTTATTCTATTTTTAAAATTACAAGGAAGTAGCTCTGGGATTAGTAGATTTATGGAGCTTATTATAGACATATGAAAATGCTGAGTTAGCTCAATTATTAATAGTTCAAAATGTAACCAATGGATTCAATACATTTATAGTTTACAACCTTTAGGAGATTGTTCACTGCAACAGCTGGAGGTCCACATCAAGCCTGGTCTGCAAGCATGTAGGTATGCATCCCAGTGAGAACTCCCTGTGAGTGACCACATCCCCTCCCTAGTGTTTGCAATGCTTCCTGGACCTCACCCTTTGCTGTTTTTATAATGGTCCATAAACTGTATTAAAATCAATTCATTCTGAAAACGCCGGTACCTAGAATATTACAGAATTTTATATTTATGTTTCCATAAGCCTATACAAGCTATAGCACGATTACTGATAACAAGGTATAGAGCACTGATTTAGAAGAATCCACTAAAGTATCTTTGGCAAAACATCCAAAACCACTTTCAATAAAATGACCTATTTTCTTATTGTCAATATTTTACGAACAATAAATTGTAGGAAAAGTACACAGAATTAAAATGCTAGTGTTCAGAAACTCAAATATTTAAATACTATAAGTTCCAAATTCCTGTATCCAAATTATCAAATAAAATCAGTTTTTAACCAGAGAAACAGTCTAGATGCAACAATCCCCCCCCACCCCTGCCCACACCCAGCCCTCAAATAACAGCAAATATCCCTTCACAAGATTTGCTGTGCAGTGCTTTGAGACGTTATCTAGACGTGAAGGGCACTAAACAAATATTGTTATTATGTATCACAGGAGAGCTGCCCTATTATTGATCACTCGAGTAAAGTTTGCCTGTTCAATTGGGGTTTAATAGCCATCCATATACAAATCTAGCCCCTGTTCCTAATAAGCCATTACTTTAGCTATTTAAGATCTACCAATTTGAACATTTCTTAGAGGGCATACCAGATATCTTGTTATGACTGTTTCATACTGCTGGAGAGATTTGTCAACAATTCTAGCAGTGGATTGGGAGCAGGAAAAAAGATTTATACTTACCTGCTTCAAACTACTCTTGCCGAGGGCTGAGGAGAGCACAACCCATGGACTAATTCGCTTTTCATGTTATTAAAGAGAGACAGAAGTCCATCCACTGTTTAATAACTTTAAAAGCCTTAACTTTAAACGTATTCACTGAAAGAGGGATAAAATGGAGCCTGTTCTACAATGTCATGATTGATGCACAACTGTGTCAAATAAGCACAACAATGCAGTATAAATGGGGCATTTGTCCAATTTACCAACTCAGATCAATTTAGATTCTCATAGAAGCAGTAATCTGTCTCAATGTTTATAGCCATTTTAATGTGTGTGGCAGTCACAACTTCCAATACTTTGGATTTTTTTTTCTGTTTGGAGTTAAAGGCTGATGAGGGTAAGGGAGGAAAGAGAGAGGAAACCAAGCTCTACATGATGAAGGATTTAGTTATCTGATTAACGTGACAGTTAAACTCCTGTAGCTATAACAGCTTGACCAATACCACTTAAAAAACAAATTAAGGTACTTCTTCATAGTGTCCAAAACATTCAATACTGGAGAGACAAAAACAAAATAAGAATTTCAGAGAGCAACACAACTTAGCTATAGATCTCAACAAAGCTGAGAATACATCCCATATTTGGTATAAAGCACATTACCCTAATATGTGACATACTGTAACTGGAAAAGGAAACAAGTCTGGTTTACACATCGCCTTCATTTTAACCATTCCACCCGAGAATGTTCCAGTGGCAGTTTGCCTTGATGGATTGCGGACTGCCAGGGAATGACGAACCAGTATTAACATTGGCAAAAAAACCAATTCAGGATTGTTGTGTCCTGACCCTATCATTTGAGAGTAAATTTATAGTTTTCTTTGAGCTGTCAAATAAGCTGTAGGTTGAATACAGTTCCAAACATATCCAGTGCTTAGGTGGCCAACAACAACTAAATGTTCAAGATAATGACTATATCCAACCTACCACATTTACAACACAGAAGGTTACCACCAACACTGAAATGTGATCATGTGAATTTATCATCGCTGGCCCTGCACATTGTGCATACTGCACAATGGAATGAATATGTCCCGAAAGTTCCCCAAGTGGCTCACTAAGTAAATGTAAGGCCTGCTGCAGTATTGAACCATATGGCCTGGATCATTATTTGATCCCTGGTCAATGTTAAATTTGTTCATCTCAGCTGGAAGGTGGAGGGAGGGAACAGTAATAATTCTTTCTCCAGATATTTATCCAGTAACTGCTGGAAAGTGATTTTGAGTACCATAAATATATCTATTAACAGATGGAACAAAGTGTTTCTTAAGAATTCTAGAGATTTTTCCTATTTTAGGGCCCCCTTCCTTCTTCACTGCTCTAGTGATGTACATTACTGAGACAGGTGAATCGTGTCCAGAGCAGTCCCTTTCAATGTAATGGGGATTATCACTTTGGATCACATCCAAGAGATATGAAAGAAATTTATACATATAAAAAGCTTGTTTTTTTATTGTTTTAGAGGACAGTTGTTTGAGTCTGGTTTCCAGGTTTGTCTGAACACAATCCCTTTGTGGAGTTCGTCTCCTCCTCTCCCTTCCTGTCTCAGATGTAAAAATCATATGGATGGTTGACCTGGTCAAAGCTGTGATCTAGCCCTTAGCTATATAAAAACACAGCCTGTAAAAAGGATTTTCAGACAATGATAATGTTTAAAATAGGTAGAAAAACACTTGCACAATAAAGTAGAATTTTGTTTGCTGGTCTGCCCGTTCCATGTGTCTGATCCATTCTCTATTCCACTTGGCCCACTACACATGCTGGAGTTTTCATCCTTTTTATTTCAAAGCATTTCTGACAGTAGCACTTCCCGAGCCAATGTAAATGCTGCTGCTAAAGCACTTTTAGCAGCACTGTCCATGTGCCATTCCTTCTTTGACTGATTAATACTACATTTAACACATTTAGACCTTATCTATTAATGGATTTTAAAAATATGTGATTTTTTCATATACTTCTAGTTTAATTTGTAGATAACTGTTAGGTCCAAGTAGTTAAGATATTCATGGAAACTATGTCTAGATTTATAATATCCAGTAATCTTTTTACTAATTTGTTCCAGTTAAAGGGTCAAAAACAGATTATGAAGGCACAATAGTGGAGTCCAACTTCATCTCAGTCCTCCAACCTAATAAGAATGATGTGCATCTTGTATCATTGGATTGATAATTTATTTTCACATGAAACACACTTTAGATAGTGTGACAGAAAGACTGGACCATAACTATTACAAGAACTGGAATTTTTCCATTGTTGAAACATAGAAGTATGATTTTGTGGTCCTGACAGCTTGGTGTCTGCAGCAGAATCAAATCCCTCATCGTCCATAACATTTCAGCATTGTTTTAACGACATAATGCAATCTGCAGGGTATCATTCAACTGTGTCTTGAAAAAATATCAGTCCAGCATGAAACCAAGACTCTGGTGGCAGGCAGCTCAAAGCAAAATGTCACTATCCTGATATTCTCATGTCAAAGTATTATAATGACCAGTTTTGTCAATTCCCAGTTTTAATTCTTCAATCTTGTTCCACTACTTCTGGCTAAAGTGAGATTTTTTGATATGACACTATCCATTGTTTCTAAACATCAACTTATTTTCTCATAATAAACCAGTTGATTTTAATCAAACCTTATCCATGACTTCCCCTAATTGAAATATGAATTTGAGTTCATATTAGCATTGCACATACTGGTAACTACTTGCTTTCAAATATTAGTGGAGTGACTACACTGTGATTTCTCCTCTTTCATAATCTCCCCCTGCCACCTACCCACCAGCCAACACAACGCAGTCAAATAGCATGTGAACACTCACTATCTGGACTCAAATGTGAAGTAGATGAAACTGTTCTTCTATAAAGAATAGCCACTTGGTAGGACTGTGGAACTGTGCTCCAGGATTTTGCGCCTTCAGGTAAGGGGAGAAATTAGCCCTAAACTAAATCTGCAGTTAAGTTCTTAACATTTGACAGTACTTACTAAACCTAAATTTAATCCTTAATTTGAATGGAATAGATCATTAAATGATCAATATAAAATTTCTACTTCTGCTTTGATGTGTTCCTCCATCAACAAGCCGGTTGATGCTCACTATCCAGGCTCACACAGAACAAATGTCTGGAACTCACTGGCAAATATTCAAGAACTGATTTTGAAATATAAATCAAAATGCAGCACTGTGCCTCAAACTGTCATTGTGTTCAGTGTTATTGTAACAAAAATCACCTTCCCACAAAAATGGTGGTCTCTTTAAATCCAATTGCAGTTTGTTACAAAATGATTTACAAAATGGAGAACATCTGCTGTTAGAGCAAAAAGCACAAAGTAAGATCAGACTGGATATACAAAATAATTACATTCTGTCTCAAACTCTGTGTGGTACCACAGCCAATGGAGCTTGTGTTGTTAATTATCAAGTGAGGAGTCATCCAGATTCATCCAACAGATGAATTTCATCTACGCATTTCTCCACTCAGTGCCCAGTGCTTCAGTGCTGCCCCCTACTGGACTATATTCAATATTGCAAAATTCTAAGAATTAAATTGCCTTTCAGAAGGCAACTCCAACAAAAAAATATTTTAAAAAATTTGGCCAATTGTCTTTATCATACAAGCTCTTTGATGCAACAGGTTATATCTCAAAAAAAATGTTCAAAAGTTTATTACCAGTGAACAACAACAAATGACGTGCGTATAGCATCTTTCACGTCAGGAGGATGTTCCAACAGCCTAGACAGTCAGGGATCCGCACCCAAGTTGGTGGTTGGGATCAGGAGGGCGGGGAGGGTAGGGGTAGGAGGTTGAACAGACAGGGCTGGGAAAAAAACCTCAATGTGAGCTTTCCCCCCACCCAAATATTTTTTTCCCCATTGTTCCATGACTTATGCAGTTGTGTAAAGTGCAATCTTATGTCAGGGTTGTGTACTCCATATATTACACTTTATCAAGATAAAAGGTTGAAAATTATAATAAAAGGTTCCCCCTAAAAATCTATACCACTGAGAACTAAAAACACTATAATATTTTGCACTGAATATATCAAATGAAAAGATTATTATTATTGTTGTTCATAATCAAATGTTTTCCTATAACTGCATAGTCACTACAGTTTATAGCAAATCCTGCAAAACATTGGTTTGAGACTTCAAATGCTTGATGATAAAATAATAACACTATATCATACACTTTTTTGGGGGGTTTAAAAAAAATAGCATCACATCAACAAAATAATTCTCCAGTAAATAAACTAATTTGAAAATAATAATAATCTGAAAATGACTTACCTGCCCATCCTGACTAACATGGACCTGGTGTATCTGAAGATTACCCTGCATACAAAAAAAATGAACAAAATGTTACTTATTTAAACAGTTCTATATATTGTGTAAATATTTACATATCTAAATATGTATATGTCAGTAAGATTTTCGAAAAATACTAAAGCCTCCTTCATGATCCAGTGTAAATGCAACAGGTGACTTGTCAATCATTTGTATAGACCAGCAATGTCCCAGGTTTGACAAATCTATCTGTGCATTCCTCAGCCAAAATGTTGTCGAACAAAAAGACCCCAAACAATTGTGTGTTTAATTGTGTGCTCGGTTATATCACGTATCAGTAAACTGAGTGTGGAAAAGGAAGTAAAGGAAAGATAGTAAAGGTAAAGTAATTGGACTTGTGCGTCATGGAGATAATTCACATGATATCTTACACAGTGAAAGAGAAATATAGTATAAGTATTTGGTAATAATGCATTGGCCTGCATCAGTCACAGTTAAAAAATATATTTTTTATATTATTTTATAAATATAAGTACCCCATCTCTGAATTCTAAGCATTTTCAGAAATCCTCTTGCAATGATTTGGGAAAATATTTCTATGAATTTTCTAAATGTCATCAGTTTGCTGAATTAGATTTATCTTCAATAAATTAAAAAATAGACAATGTAATACATTTTCACTATCATAATAATGTACACCAATTTAGTGCCAATGCTTTCAAATTCAGTCTTTTTCTAAGCATAAATATAGCCAAGCTGCACTAGCCTCAAAAAATCTATGCTCTGGACTCCTTTGGAAATGACTCCAACATTGAATCAATTTGAAATTTAACATACGTTCATTTTTGCAGCACTTAAAACGAGTTTTTAGTGTAGCTAGGATACAATAGTTATTATCATTCTTCATTACTGCTGGACAAGAGCAATGAGTAGGAACTCAAAGACCTCAAAAAAATATATTAACACAAATTTCATCGGAATATTTTTATACATTTCACTTTTACTGACCTACTTTAAAAAATGCAGTCATAAGTATCTAGAATCTAATTTTAAATCAGAGACAATATTTGTGAGGAAAAACATATTCACTAATTTATAAGACCTGAAAATGAGCTATTTTGATCAGGGCACATCTTTCAATCTAATCCCAGACTACTCAGTTTCTAGGTAAGGTTTATAAATGACCCACTCTGCACAAAATAGTGCAGTTAATATCAGAAATTTTAACCATCAAAATGAAAACTACAGCAAAATTGAGCCGAAATTGAATCAATGCTTGTTGTCTGACAAAGACAAAGTATGGTGAGACCCTGAGCTGCCGGGTTTTCAAACTAGTTGTTTAATGAGTCATAAGCCACAGACTCATGAAATATTTAAATAGTAAAAATAGTCATAATATATACATAACACAGGAAACCCCTGATAACTCGACTCTATCACTATCACTTAAGTCATCATGCTGTCAGTATCCCAGCCACATTTGTTTACATGTAATCTCAGTGCAAACCAAAACACATTACAGCTGAACTTGGAAACCACTCAATTTAAGGATAGCTCTTGTCAATGCGTCAAGTTTAACAATGCATTATGATTCAAATTTCTATCCTTAAAACAAGACAACATATCCATCAAGAATACCTATAGGGTTCCTAAAACGGTGATTATAAACAGATTTAATGGGTTTATTATTGATTATAATATAGTGAAATAAATATATGTGTCAGTGGAAAACTGTGGCTACCCAGAAATCTGAACGTAGAAAAAAATTCAAACTCACCTCACTATCCTGCGTAATTTGTACCTGTTCTCCCTGTGGTACCTGAGCAATATGCAGGTGTCCCTGTACGGCCAGTAGTTTGGAAAAAAATTGGAAGGAAGGAAGAGAAAGCGATATTACAAATCAAAAAAGATTACAAATTTTTTTTTTTTTTAAAATAACATCTAATCTAAAATAACACTCTTCTAAAATACCCAGTTATACATAACTAAAATACTTAGTACTTAACCATCTGTACATGAAAGATAGAGGCTTGAAGAAATATGGGTTAAGACAGAGCAGTAGGATTGAATGAAAACCTTGATCTGAGAACAAGCTCAGAGGACCGAATAGTCTCCTTCTGTGCTGTAAATTTTCTATGATTCTATAATCTAAGTCAGAACTCTTCGTTACTACAGTACACACCTGTCCAGTCATGGCCAGGATTCTAAAATCATATCTTACAAACAACATAAAACTTTTGGTGTTTTCAGTTATCTAATGCAAATTAATGCTAGTCGACACAGATTTTGGAACATTGTGTAATCAATTTCAAACACAATCTTTACTTGTGATTTATCAGATGTTTTCAAAATACTTACTACTTGTTGGACTTGTCCATCTTCCCCAATGCGATGGATATGAACCTGCTGAGCATTTGCCAACGCATAATGGAGAGTCTGAGACTGGCTCTGCTGTAAATCTTCAGGTGACATTGATCCCTGAATTCCCCCTTCTACAAAACAAACAAAAGAAAAACTTCATGTAACCCAAATTTTTAACAGTTATAGGGTATTAAAACAAAAGTATTTGATGTCATTACATCACATCATCTGTTCTTTTCATACATTCCTTTTTTTGGCTCTTCTGTAATTATTGTGAAAGCAGCAAATCCTTGAACTTTATACCCTACTTCCCCAAACCATGAATCAATCGCACCAAAGAAGAGGGGTCCTCCCAGTCCTCTGCCAAAACCAATCTGCTGAGCCAGTTTCTTGCAGGCACTTAGCAGTTACCTTAAACAATCCATTTTCCAACTTTCTGATCCCCAGTGTGAAGGTGTCTGGCTTTTTCTCAATAACTTCCCATTACAGTGCAACCAAAATCAACAAAATCAGGAATTCAGTTGCGGAGTAAATCAAGAGTATTTGCATACTTGGCATTTCTTAACATTACATGAAAAGAAAGGTATTGTGGTCAGTCTAAAACTTCAAATCTCCCTATCACATATGTAAATTCTCTATCAGTTGCTACAGACAATATCTCCACCAGTTCAACAGTTCTCAATGAGAACATCTGATAAGAATTGGTAAACGCTCGGTGAAACAAAATTATTGAAAGGACTAGAATTAAAAATGATTTGGCAAACTTTACTGTTGATTTATTAAGTTTTTTTTCTCTCAAAAAAAAATAATCAATTGGTCATTCAACCCACGACTGTTTGTGGGACACTGCTGTGCACAATTGGCTGCAGCGTTTCACCCACAAAATATACAGTCAATTCACTTTACAGCATATTCTGTGAAGCGCTTTGAGACGTCTCGAAGGTGTGATGAGGGGCTATATCAAATTCAAGGATTATTATTATTACATCCTGAAATAATTTGCATCGATTTCTCTAAAAGATTTTATAGGCATTCAATGGTAGCATGAGATTTAAATGGGTAAAAAGAGCAAACATCAAGCAATATTGAAGTAATAGCTTTTATTACTTATCCTGTATAAGAAAGTCTGATGTTTCAAATGGGCTATTGTGACAATGGGGTGAAAGTTTTCTCTACTATTTTAGCCCCAAATTTGACAATACTCCGATGGACTTTCACTTTTTAATCAAAACTTACCTTTTTTATTGTTCTAAACAATAGAACATTTTTATCTTCGGTTATTACAACAGTAGTCTTAGGCATTGTTTTACTTTTTAATATAACTCAATATTCACTTTATTCTTTTTTCATTCCAGAAAAGGGTTCAAAATTATAGCGGAACTATATCTGGACATAACCTGATTCTGAAAAGCAGTAATGGAGGCGGGTGTATTGTCAAATGTATTTGTCCACTATTTGATTTAAATATCCTGTGGATAATAGTTAAACCAAGGTTCTGTCTGCCTATCCAGATGGACATAAAAGATCTTATTCAAAATGTTTTTCCTCTTGACCAACAATCATTTTGTGAGTGGTCATGGGATCTTGATGAGTGCAAAATGGCTGTCAAACGTAACTATAAAACAGTTACCAATTTGAAATGTTTTGCAAATTCAAGGGTTTAAAACAAGAATTAACTGCAAAGTTTGTTCACAAATGCAATCACTAAATCTTGCAAAGCGATTTGGGACACACTCCCGACATGAAAGCCAAATGCAAGGACTATTATTATTATAAAATTGCATAGAAGATTTTCAAGCACAATCATGAGATGAGCATTATTTTTCCTTCTAAAGAACTGATGACAAATTCATTAATGCCCCCACAAATATTTCTGAACTTAAAACAAAACAAATGGTCTTCATGCAGGACTCAGCATCTATCTTGCCAACAATATGGAGTCACTGTTTATTCAGCAGGCTACGAGTACAACATTAAATATGTGAACACTTACATTAACTGTCATTGCTTTGTAAGTCTTCCAACAAGTAAACTTTCTATGCCAAACCTCAGCCTTGTCACTTGACCATTATCTTGCTCTTCCCATTGAACTTGTTATTTAATAAAGAGATATTTAAATACTGCAACATAGGCAACCTTCAAGTCTTTCAGAAGCAAAATTAACATAGTCATAATCAGTTTCTTTCCTTTGGGTTTGTTAGAATTTAATTAATCTATGGAGGTTCTTCTGAATTATGTGAAGAAGGCCAGATAGGAAGAATAAAAAAGTTGGTGTACAAAAGCAGACTTCTGTAGGGACAATGAAAAATACTGTTTCTTTATGGATTGATCAAAATGATACTAAAAAAAAAACTACGTTTCTGATCCCAGTAGAAGTAGACTTCAGCACTTCATCGAAGCTTGGTACCAGTTGTAAAGATTATATTGTCTTAAACAAAAAATGCAGTGGCTTGCAACTCACTTGAGAAAGATTTCAGTACATAGCATTTTCCTATTCTGGCTCCATACAGTACACATTTGTGGTGGAAGTAAACTAATCCACAAGTATGTGGATTGGTTTACTGCCGTTCTTTGATACATTTAACATCTTGTTTTTCATTACTTAAGTCAACATTCTACAGATTGTAATGATTGGATTAAATAAATAAATAAATAAATAGTTAGTCAGGTTTTGAATCTTAAAGGTAATCCATTAATGTTGGGATCACATCATTTCTAGATCCCTTTTTAGTAATATAAATGATTTGAAAATTCTTTGTTCAGTAACATGCTATTTGTTCGGTTCTCAAAGACACCTGCAGAAATCAATTCTGAGATGTAAAATCAATTTCCAAGTAAACAAAATTGGGAATTTTTACTTAATTCTCAAGTATTCATAACTTGCCCAATCTGAATCATTTCAAGTTTATGTCAAGTGCACGAATGGAGGAAGAAAATCTATATTTTCTCCATTTGGTGTGATCTAGTAGAGGAGTATTCATCCTTTTTCTCTGCCAAGTGAGGATTGAGACCTCCAACGCTTAGGATTTGAGGAATAAGAGAGAATTTTCCCACCAAGCCACTCTACCACAGGACTATGTACCAGCTTCAGCTAATATCAAATTCCTGCCTCCTTGCCATTTGCTTTAATATTTCTACTTCATACATACTCATCCATTTTTGTTATAGATGTTTATCAATGAAAATTGGGGAACAAAATATTTTAGTGGTTCGCAATAGCATTCCCCCTGCAGTGCAAGGATTGCACCAGAGAAACAAAAGGATTATTAGTCATCTTAATAGTCATCTTCGGTTTGTGTACAATTGAATGGCCCTTTCTCCTACTACATTTAGTCATCAACTCTTACATATAACATACTTTTTCCCCAGTGCACAAATCACTTTTGAATCAAAGATCCTGCTCTACCCCAGCAAAATACCTTAATCCCAAACTCAGTGGAACACCTTCACTCCGTTAGTGTCAGTGTTCCTTCTTTTAAAATCACCAGATATCCTTATGATCTCTTTGACAGTGCAGAATTATGGATATTTTTATGCATTGCACTGGATGCTTACTTCATCAACTCAATTCATGTAAGTCAATTTCTGGCATCAATGGACTTTTATTCGACAAGTGTGGTCTGCATGGAAAACTAGGTTCTTGAAATTAAAGTGCACTGCACCATTCAATGGCAATACATGAATATTTGTTTAAAATTCTAAATTCTTGAAGTCAGATTATTTCTTATATATACCAAAAAAAGTAATTTGGATAGTTCACTGTATGCACATTTTTGAAAGGAATAACTGATTTTATTGAGAAGTGGAGCTTGTGAGTGTACTAGTGATTTTTGTCACAGAATGTCAAAATCCAGGATAATAACCCCCCCCCCACCCATCCACCCAGTACAGTAAGATTCACCTTTCTGTAATTTTAAGGTATACAAAGGGTAAATTTGATGATTTGATGTTTATTGCCAGTGATGATTTCAGTGATGAAATAATAACTGATTCCTGAAGCATTACATGTTTCTTCTTTGCGCCCTCCCCCCAAATCCAACCCCTAGGCTCGGGTGCAAACCCTTGACTATCCAGCACCTTGAGATGTCCTCTCGAAGTGAAAGGTGCTTATATAAATGTAATTCGTTGTTGTTTGTTGTTGGGCATCAAACTTTTAAAGCTGTCCCTTTAAGTCAATGCTTTCTTCCAGCTAATTTCTTTCATCTTTGGCGAAACATCTGGTATTATTATTACTTGTTCCATTTATTTTTTAAAGCACAATAGAAATTTTGATACCATGAAATCAGAGGTTACAGCAGTGCTAAGTCCACATGTAATAAAGACATCAAGTTGTTTTGGTTGTATAAAATAAATTGGTACTCCTAAACTCAATGATATGAACAAGGTAACAAAAATAGTACTTCATGGTTTATGGAAACATAAACCAAAAGTGAATCCCAGCATGCATAACTACGGCTTTCATGTCATACATTCAATATTGCTCAGTAGTCTTATTTTTCTGTGGGGTCTTTGAATTATAAGTAAATATGGCACTGAGATACAATAAGGAAAGTGAAGAGACTATGGCTGGTGATGCAGTCCCTCAGTGCTATTTATAAAAGGAAACAAAAGGTGTCTGGAAATAGAACTATTTGGCTGGTCTACACATTTCATTTACAGTGTCTAAAACATTTCGGAAGTCATACGACAGAAAACAGCAGTTTGTATTTAAATCGGAAAAATTCAGACATAAAAATAGGTGTTAGAGAGTGAACAGACTCCCTCAATGAATCCCAGTGATTATGTTTTTATAAACTGTAGCTATGCAATTTTCTTTAAAAAAATCTTCACCATCTGGTAAATTCACAACTGAATCATTTCCTCAAAAATTACAAGGCCCGACTCACTTAACTATAATTATTTATTTTAGAAGATCATGTTAGAAGGACAATAATGTTAGAAATCTAAACCAATAGGCCGAGCAAATATGTCACTGGTCTAAACAAGAACAACACATTGCATTTATACTGTGTTTTTCACATCAGGAGTATGTCCCAAGTATTTGTTTTAAAAACATACAAGAATAAATAGGATTTATGAGATGGGTTTAATTACAGTGACTATTAAAACTATGGCAGAAAACCTATCCATAGTAACTGTGAGAAAATGTAGTTCATATAGCCCAACAAGAATAAGTATGTTTCCTACACAACACTAACCAACTATTTGATACAATACAACACAAAATTACATTTGTAAAGTGCTTTTCACGTCAGGAGGATGGCCTAAGGCGCTGAACAGTCAAGAGTCATTAAGGCCCGAGCATTGGGGGTGGGGGGGTTTGGGATCAGCGAGGGTGGAGGGCGGATCGTCTTCAGGCGTGCCTTGAAGGAGGTAAGGGAGGGAGAGAGGTGAAGGGAATGTGGGATGGAGTTCCAGAGGGTGGTGGCAGAGAGGCTGAAGGCCCGACCACCGATGGTGGGGCAGGCCAGGCAGGGAACATGGAACAGGGCGAAGTCTGCTGAACGGAGGGAGCAAGGCTTATGATATTATTAGATAATGGGAAAGGTAGAAGTTGACAAATGGTTATGTATCAAGAATTAGCAATTGACTGAAAATTAAATCACAGAATAACAACAGGCATAATATTATAACTCATAGGTAGTTAACTCTAGTAAAATGACTATCTCAAATACGTAAATTTCACTTGTTCGGTTTAGGAAATATTTTAATTTTGTTTCTATCTTAACCAATGAAGGGAGCCCTTCTATTATGCTGAAACAGAACATGAGGAATTAATAAAAATATACCAAGGTATCAAACTACCAAGGCCTGGTAGGAAATCACAAATTACTTGACTAAGCAGGAGTATTTGAGTTTTCACCTACAACTCACATCTGATTATCCAGGAGAAGCTGAAACAATTAGTCATAAGGAGGAGGCAAAGAACAACTTCTGCATGTGAACTTGAGCAGCAGTCTTTCGAAACACAAAACCCATCATTATGCTCGCTACAAAGTAAGCATCAGTACTGATACCGAAATACTGTAAGACAAGCCTGACTTATAATAATTCTCAGAACCAGTAATGTAGACAAAACAGATATAATTTTCTTGGCTGGGGCGCATTTCCCAAGCAAGATCCTGAGATATAGTACCACCAAAGATTACAAGTTTCCAACCCTCAAGATCATGATGTTTGTAGCTCACTTCAGACCAGAGACCGGTCTCCCTAACCCACAAATTGTGCTGGAAGTGAAAGATAGTTCCTTTCACTCATCTTCAAACAACTTGCCTCAGTCAATAAGTCATCATGCTTTTTTTAATAAAACATCTGCTGGGCATCTCTGAAACAACCATATGTGGCTAGTTTGACCAGCCTGTGGAATCCAAATGTACCCCCATCATAAACATTAGCCAGTCAATATGCAAATTTGTGAAATTGTCCTATCTATAGGTAATATTATAGGAATATAATATGTAATATTCGTCCGGTACACCTCACAAGTGACACTGTGAGCTTGTGTCATGTTCTGAAGGTAAACATTTAGCACCATTCATCCACAAATATAGAATGCTAAGATAAAACTACAACGGCTTTGTGCATAAACATGCTCATGTATTTGGATTACAACATGTCTCGGGGTGAAAGATACATTTAACTGCAGCTTGCTAAAACAGGCTACAATATACCATTGCTGAAAGAATATAATTACTGTAGCACAATTATCTACAGAAACATTTTATGTACATTTGGTCTTATGTATTCATACTGATTCTTTGAAGGTCAAAAATCCCCCCCCCCCCACACCAAAAAAATGTTTGTGAATCTCATAATGTTTTGTAGAAATATTAGCAAGAAGGACATTATTCAAGGGATCTACAGACATATGGCGATTCAATAGAGAAAGATTAAATAACAGAGTGAACAGACTATCATCAGGCATGGTGAATGTCAATTCATTTCAGTTGTTCTCAAAACAATTGAATAAATCTCCAATTCCACAGGGAGAGAGAAATATTGGTTTTATGCCAAAGCAGAAAGGAGATGAAAAATTCCCGAGTGGGTCTGGACATGTGTTTAATCAGCACAGCCAGTGAAGAAGGTCACTATGAAAACTGTCCATTTAATGCTGCTCATTACCATGTGGACCACCCTTGATCTACATGTAACGTCCAAATACACAATCTTCAGTTTGCTTTTGGCCAACAACATAAAAAATAAGTTATTACACTTTACAGAAAAACTCAGGGAAGTGTTTGGAGACATTTCACCACGGTGAAGTTCTGTATTAAATGCAAGGATTATTATTGATGAATCAACTACTATTTTGATACTGATTCTCAATTGAAATGTTCCCTTCATAAATTTTAAAAAAAGCTGGAATAAACTGTCTTACTTTAGTAACATTCCTACTTGGTTTTGTACCTGTTCCATTCATAACTGAAGAAGAGGGCGTCCTTCTGGCAAAACCCTTTACTGCCAAACTCTGTCCTCGCTGCTTTCTGCGCCATGCTGTTCGACATTTGGAGTCTATGCTCTGTTTAATTCGATACCAGTCTGATTCTGTGATTCCAAAGTTATGGAAAAGGTGACCTACAAGAGAAGACAACGTATTAAAAGAAATGTAATCATTTTGCATTTCATGTATAAAATATTTCTTGTATTTTATGCTTTAAATTCTATGAATGTTGCTTCATAGCAATTTCACATTTAATAAAAGTGTTTCTTCACTGACTTCCTGTAGCATATTTAATCAACATCACACAAAGGTAACACACTGTTTGTTTGATGCCCAAAATGTTGCCATCTTTTTTCTCTTTTCCTTGCCATTTTTCTCCCTTTGACTTCTTCTTAACAATGTTTAACTGTTTATCTACTTCAATATGGATAAAAAGGTTCACGTTTTCTGCCCTACATCAGTTTACTGCAAAATTGAACAGTGTGAACTCAAGTACCTTTCCATATTATTTTTTAAATCCCCAAGAAAAAAAAAGTATGAGTTAGTTTTTATAATCTGTCCTATTGAGGGTTCAGCAGCACTTTACAAAATACTTCTGTTATTTGTTTTGGCCAGAAAGATGAGCCATGACTAATGTGCCATAACCACAATTTCAGTGGCTACCATTCACACAGTCCTGATATCAAATTCTGACACAGTACTCATATTCAGGTTTTGGTCCTACTAAATTTCTTGTCAGCACTAATTTATCACAAAAAGCCAGTCTTTTTTCCACAATATTTATTAAAGGTTTAATTCCTCCAAGCAGCTTAGTTATATAGGAACTTTATGTGGTATCTGGCTCATTTTCAAATTAAAACATTTTACTGAATCTACTTGCTATGCAAACATAGATTATTTTGTAAGAAATTCTTAAGATAAGAGTTATTAATTTTAGAAAACAATATTGACCAATATTGAGATGAATGATTAAACAAGTTGACTGAAGATTTTTTTCAAACTGGCTGATGTCAAATAAATTTTAAAATGTGTTCACTCATCAATATATACTAAAGAGTATGAACGTATAAAAACACGGTTTTATAATAATCATCGTTGCATTTGTTACAGCACCTTTCATGTTGAGAAGACAAAGCGCTTCACAAAATTTAATGTGAAATGGAGTGACTGTCTATTTTGTGGGTGAATGCAGCATCCTAAATTCTCACAGTAATGTCCCACAAACAGCCATGAGATGAATGACCGATTTTATTTGGGGGATCACTGGCTAGAACACCGGGAGAAACTTCCTTCTCTTTTCGAATGGTGCCACGGGACCTTTAATGTCCATTTAAACAGGCAGACGGGACCTTGGTCTAATTTTTCATCCAAAGGAAGGCACCTCTCAGACAAAGCAACAGACCTCAGCACTGCGTTGGACTGTCATCGTAGCGACTATGTGAGTTCAAGTCTCAACTTGGGGCTTGAACTCACAACCTTCTGACTCAGAAGCAAGTGATACCAAGTGAGCCAGGCTTACAGATGTTATATCTAAAATATTATATATATATATACACACACACATAAACACACAGTGTGTCAGCTTGGTTCAGTGGTAGCACTCTTGTCTTCGAGTCAGAAAAATTTACATGTATAAAGGGTTACAGTGTGCATTTCAAATCTTTCTGGTAGCGTTCTTAATGATGGATAAGCTATTAAGTATGACACACCAAAACCTTATGTGGTAGTTTACCTTCCACTATTTCGCCCACAAATATACAGTCAATTCACTTTACAGTATATTCTGTGAAGTGCTTTGAGACGTCTAGGAGACGTGAAAAGTGCTATATCAAATGCAAGGATTATTATTATTATTACTAACTAATTAATAAACTGGCATTAAAATCAGACATTTGAGAACAGTCAACAACTTACCCTCTTTGCAGGAATGAGCTTGGATGGAAACAGTTACAATAAAACTGAATTTAATGACTTCATGAGAAAAAAACAGAAATTTTTATGTAGCACTCACATCTAATCCCATAGATCATTAAAGGATCCAGCTGTTTTTTGCCATGTTTTCCTTGACCTGAGAGATTGGATACAGCCTGTATCTCACGATGGAAGAGGTAGTCCAACAGTGTTAGTGCCATTTTCTCAGCTGTTCTACAAACTGTAGCAACATGTAGCATGTCAGCAGCAGTGATAGGACTCCGCACTCGCATCTCAGCGTTATTCTCATCACCAAGCCATGTTCCATTAGGATAATCCTCTAGAAATAAATACATTATTGAAATAAGAATGTGAAAATATTAGATAATCAATATCACTCAATTCCAAAATTTCACATTTTGAAAACATCAGCACATACTAGTTGAGTCAAATTACCTTTTTTCATGTTGTAGTATTCTAAGTAATATCAAATAAAGATGCGTCTTGCTACCCTTTAAATGGGGAATTCTACCTATAAACTATTGTTTCCATTCATAACAAGAGATTATTCCACTAAGAAATATAAGCTATCAGAATAAAAAGGAATACACAAAATGCTCGTACCTCAATGAATATCTCAAACCAATAAAACTCAAGAGGTAATGAAAAGAAACCAAGAAGCTTTTAGGCATGAAATATGACAAATTAAACATTTTGGGGCAGCTGAGTGAAACTACATTTCCTTTAACGTAGTTATAACAATGTGAGTGCCAAGGACTAAGGAAAAAAACACATCAATATCTTCTAAATTATTTTAAACAATTTCTCAAATGCTGGAAGGCAAACAAGAACTTTTCAGCAACTGGCATTGCTAACATTTAGTTACACAGTTTCTGCACTGAATGAAAGCTAACTAGATGTGTAGAGCAAATCATCTGGGTATGTAAATAGATAAAAACAACATTTATTGTGTCACTCAACTTTCCCCCCTTCCTGTATCTGAAATTCCTATTACTCTTCTGCTCTCTTGTGTCCTTGCTTGCATGGCTTGTGCATCTTTGTAACTGAAAATTTCAAGCTACTTACATATTAAGTAAAGAATTTGTGGGGACAGAAAAATCCTTTTTGATTTGCAATCCCATCTTCTCAGAATATCCCTCAAATCTTTCCTTCTCCAATACTCTTGAACCAATTCTTACTGTTCACTTCAATGATCTTCCATAGTATCTTATTACACAAATGACCTATTGGTGTTAGTTTGGCTCAGTTGGTAGCACTTCACTCTTGATTTAGACGTTAAACCAAGGTCTGACTGCCTGTTTACAGATAGAATTGAGAGATTGCATGACATAATTCAAAAAGATGAAAGGGGTTTCTTCTGTTGTCCAATTCGGCAACCCTTCAGAGTAATTCCACATTCTGCTTGTGGGACATAGCTGTTCCTGGGACATTGCTGACGCAAATAGTGTTTAATTTACGTAGATGTTACTAGACTTGACAATACTTATTTAAAATCATGGAATATTATAAAAAAAGTTATTTCCAGTGCTCTGACACGCTATCCAGTGTGAAGGGCACTGTATAAATGCAAGTTGTTGTTGAAATGTATTCAATCCAATGTGTTAGTGGTAATGTTTATTCCTCCAATGAAGCCATACCAATTCGCTGTAACCCCCATAATTTTGAATACCCTTCCTCTTCATGTTTTTATCTTAATCATTTTAAACGTTGCCAATTAACTTTACTTAGAATTAACTACTTCACTCAGAAGGCAGTGAGATGGTTGAATCAGATAGTTTCAATGCTTTCAAGAGGAAGAAAGCTAGACTTCCCATGAGGGAGGGGGGAATAGAAGAGTATGGGAGAGAGAGGAATGGGTGAAGATTTGTGTAGAGTATAAGCACCAGCATGGACTGGCTGAGCCAAGTGGCCTGTTTCTGTGCTGTACATTCTTTGTAAACAACCACCTCTGGCAAATCATTCCATATTCTGATAACCCTCTGGGAAATAAAAATCTTCCTAACTTCCCCCTTTCATGATGAATGATGACTGATAGGACAGTGTTCAAACTGTGTAGACAGAGACGGCGAAAAGAGAAAGGATGGCAGCTATTAATCTTAAAATAAACTCAACATTGACAGAAAGGCCAGGAAGTTTATTTTCTCTCTAGAGATTCACTGGAACACATCCACTTCATTTTCTCTACAGAGATTCACTGGAACACATTCACTTTATTGTTTCAGCAGCTGATCCCTTATTTTCGGGGCTCTTTGGAGCAGTTCGTATAAAGCAATTATTTTGAAAAAATATGAAAACATAACTAAATGTTAGTGATCGGTGCATGATGGACCCCACAGAGTGGTAGGATATAGGTTCATGTCCATGAATCTACATGAGCGTTTCCTGATCTCAAGTGTGCCGCTGGGAAAAGTAGAGTGGAACTCGGGAAATTGTGCACACAAGAGTGAAAAAATAGTAAATGATTCGTCATCCAGGACTGGTCCCACATAACACCTGCTCATCATCTCAGGAGGAATGTTGTCAGTTCATTATACATATAAACGTGCACAAGTCATCTCATCATAACTTGTATAATTGCCTAAGTCCATGGGTGCACCCGAGTCCCATTCTTTTTCGTACCAAAAATCACTTAAGATTTCTTTGCACTAGTCACATTTTACAAGTCGGATAAATGGCTAAATCGTAATGGTTTCTTGGTCCCAAATAATCCTAAATCCCATGCATATCATCTCCTAACTCCCATTGCCACAACCGAGTGCAGAAAACGAGGTCTTAATTCGTCATCACATGCAGATTTACTGGCTGCATTGATGAAATACTACATGTGCACTTACCAGCTGCACTGATAAAAGTACTGGATGCACATTTAGTGCTGTATTTGAAACAAGCATGGGAAAATAGGTCTTGACCCATCATCATGCCACAAAAGATAAATTTAACTTTAGTAAATCGTGTTAAGTTGGCTGATACAACGTATGTGAGTTTGCCCGTAACTTGTACTTCACGTAAGTCATATTAAATATTATGGTCCCGCTGATACCACTGATGCGAGTTTATTTGTAATAATTATTTGTAACACATTGTAAAAATTTGTTCATATTTACGCTGGAAAGTCAAAAATTGTAATTACACCATTCAATGCTTAATGACTGATCCACAGGGGTGAAGAATGTCACTTCCCTCCTCCACTACAGCACAATGGCCCAACCCGAAGCTGGTCAAAGATTTCTGCCTCTGCCATTGTTCTTCTTGAACCTCTAGCAGCTGCTATTATTTCATGGAGGTTAGCATTTCAGAGCTGCTTTTAAGTATTAAGAAGCACTTACTTAATTGCTACAGTTTGTTCTGAAATCTATGCAAAGAAGCACTATGTAAAATGTTAAAATAAATTGTATTCATTTTCCAGTATCTATTCCCTACAAACAAAGTCCCCACCTTTCCATCATTCTAGCTGAGCAACTTCAGCCAAAAAACGATTTTTTCCACTTGAACTTTTAATACTGTGTGTATGGTGAAAGTACTGCTTTCACAAACACGGTGCTCCCTCTGATGGTAAAACAACAGAAAGCAACTTAAATATAGTTTCTTTTGGTTGACCAACGACACAATTAATCTAAATTATCTCCATCCAAAAATCTGCAGGTCTTTCTGACAACCTGAAGTTGATTGAGAAAAAAATCTTGAAATATCAGCAAAAACTGTCTTAAAGTGTGGGAAATACTGTTCATATTTACTCTGGAAAGCATTTCTGCTGTTAAACAGTTGTGCTCAGTTGCCATATCTGCTCATGAACCAAATGATTAGGAAATAAAAACGATTTGATCCCTACTATGCTAAGCTTCAAATGTTTCCTTAATACAATTGGTAAAAATTGGTAAAAAAAAACATGAAAAGCTGAATTTCTTCTTAAGGTACAAATAAAGGAAAAAATTGACTTATTTTCTGACTAGCATAAGCTTGAAGAAGTACAAAAGCAATATTCTGTAGAAACATACTTAAATTTGATGATCACACATTAATTTATTATTATTACTTTTTAATTATTATATTTATTTAATTTGAATTTCTACATCAAATTGAAATTAGATGTGTGCAACATAAATAGGTCATTAATAACAATATAAATTTAAGGCCTACAAACCTTGACTGTCTTAACATCCAGAGTCACATGGAATTCTGGTCATTTCGCTACTTTTTTAACGGATCGAGAAATTATGAAACAATCATCACTTGCCTTGACTAAAATGTCAAAGAAATGGCCAAAATTTTAAAGAGATGATACTATACATTTCAGAGTATATTGTATATTTTGAACATCATTCAGCACATTTTACAAAATCTGTCCTTTGGCTGCCAAAACAGAGACATTATGCCTGCATAAATGAACAGAACTGTCACGTACTTAACAGTCCAGACAGAGTAATAGCTGTAGAATGCTCACTCTGCTGTATGAGTTTCAAAAAGGGTATTCCAGTTAGGCCAATGGTCAAAGTCAAAAACGGGGAATTAAAATACTGTATTGACATTTTGGCTCCAGTAACTTCCAAAATGTTGCAATCTGTAAGGTCCAAAAAATGAAAGAAGCAGTGGACCATACTGTTCCAGAAGCTTATATTGAAGAACTTCCTTATATATAAATACTACTGTAGAAATGTTAAGAACTTTAAAGAATTAATTGTTTCCTATTCAGATTCCAAAATATATATTCTCATGTTGCATAATATTTGCAGTTTCTTTTTGAAATGATCTCAAAATCTGTAATTAGGAAAACCTATTACATCATATAACATTTGCTTTTCATCTCACATTCTTGCCTTTTAAAGTCTTCACATGTTGTACATCATTCCCCAGCTGAGACAGAGGAACTGTTCCCAATTCTCTGTCTAACAGACACGAGACAGCTGGTAGGAAGTCTACAAGAACAACACAGGTTGATTCACTTTCCAAGTTTGTCTGCCCCAAGACTTTTGTCTGCCAATAATCCATCGTGAAAACAAAAACAAAAATACTCCATTGGGGAATTGAGAAGAAAAGCCTTCACCGTGCTACTCGATGCACACTGTAATTTCTGAATGAATTGAATCCATTTCTATTTTCTCCCCTATTCTTCTCATTATGCCTCGGGCTTCAATGGGGCCTGCATAGAGGACCAGGATAGAAACAAGGCACACAGTTTTACAGGAATGGCTTAAAATGGGAGAGTGTGGCAGTACTTCAATTTATCGACCATCATATTTAAATTGTGCACAAGAAGAGTGGTGGCACCTGCAGAAATTCCACTGGTTTCTCGAAGACCAAATTCACTCTTTGGTAGGACCAGCAAAATTAATTTGGTATAGGTCAGAAGGTCTGAAAAACAATATTTTCTTTTCCAGTAAAAAAAGAACTCAATTACTATTCGGGCCCATTCCTTCCACGTTTTCATTACCGCTTTGAAAAATCATCTGGAATAGTGCCCAGACATACAGGAAACTCACACAAATGAGAAATGCCTTAAAACACATTTTATGACCTGCATATTGCAACTTCAATTGCCTAAAAATGGTATATAAGATGTCCAGCTATGCCCAGCTGTAAGTACTGACTAAGTCCGTATGCCTGTTTACAAGGTCAGACTTAATTCTGAGGCTGTGCAGCAGACATAAGGATGAAGGCATGGGAATTTGTAGTCTCACGCTTCCTATGAACCTTAGCATCATTTCTAAAATGGTTATCAGAGTTTCCAGAAGTGAAAGTTTGGCTGTGATATTCACATCTGTCTGTGTGTGTGGGGGGGGTGGGGGGGGGTTCGTGGAATAACTTAAGACAATAGCATGCCTACCTTCAGAGTTCAATGTGATGAGGGTAACATTGGATGCCAAGTTCTGGCCTCCTGATTGACCACTGTTTGAAACGGTATCACTTGTTTCAGACCCACTTTCTACATCCTCAGTATGGCTATCTTCATGGCCAGGAATCTTCACAATGATTGTGTTCTGTCTACGACCTGTTGAAGAACTTTGTGTGTCCGAAACAGGAAGAGGTAAAAAATAAATGAATCATTTTATTAGATAGTTTGTATTAAGGTCATAAACATTCAAAACAATCAGATATGGATTTAGGGATACACCAATTAACTAGTTACAACCAATTAGTGAGTTTTTGTTGGCAGGAATGTTGCTTTTATAATCAAGCCAGCTATTATGAGGCAGAATATTGAACGAACATTCATTAATGTGAATATTGAACAAACAAACGTGGAGTCCTGTAGCTCAGTGGTTAGAGCACTCGCTTTGCAAGTGAGAGACCTGAGTTCAATTCCAGGCAGAGGGCGAAACCATGGGCAAGTTTCCTTACTCCACACAGAGCCTAATAATAATCCCTCCAAAAAACAAAAACAATAATAAATTGGTCATTTTCAATCTACGACTGTTTGTGGGACATTGCTGTGCGCAATTGGCTGCCGCGTTCGCCCACAAATATACAGTCAATTCACTTTACAGTATATTCTGTGAAGCACTTTGGGACGTCTAGAAGACGTGAAAAGCGCTATATCAAATGCAAGGATTATTATTATTATTATATGGATACATTGGTTATCTGTTAGGATATACGTTCATATTTTTCAACCCCTGTGAAGACTCGCTCTTAAGTCGCATACATGCAAGGGAAGCAGTTCACTGATGTGGGTTGGGATTGTTAATGAGTTCTAAACACAGGAATCTCCATGTGAACGTAGCATGCACAGACTCTCAGATTGGTTTAGATACTCTTAAACATGGTGGTCAGTTTACCCATGCTTCGGACGTCAGACTGACCCCCCAAAAAATCATCTGCAGCCCGATCACCCATAAGTCAATTATTTTATAGCGCAGAAATCCAAATAGTCACACCAGAAACCAGATGTACCATTCATCCAGTATAGCACCCCTTCACAGTTGCAAACCTGCACTCAACAGAGTAGGTTCTCACAAGGCTGCCCTGTAGTATGAGTGAATAAAGTTGCCTCATAGCAAATTCTGGAAGAAAAAAGCCAAGAAAACTACGAACACCTAAATTACAACTCATTTTGAAATTAGTGTCCAAGGAGTAATGAAAGTCTGTTTGAAAAGGCATTTCTTCCATTTCTTTGAAACTAGACCTGCTTTCACAGAAGGTTCTGTCTACTTTATGAGACAAATATAAATCGGTAGTTGTAAATTTTCATAGAATACTGTCCAAAACTTAAGTTTACATTGACATGAGACCTTGTTCCAGCAGTCTAATTTTCCATTATGGTATTAAGATAAATTATTCTGTGCACTAGCCTGCAACTGATGATTTTGAAGGTAAGGTGAGCAGCCAGCCTAACCATAGTATTATTTTTGAATAACCCAATTATTTTCTATGAATAAGACAATCCCATTTCAAAACTCGTATTAAATATTGCAATGTTACAATTCTGCTATCAAAGATGGAAAACAACAACAAAATTACATTTGCATAGAAAAGGAAAAATTGTCATTTGTAGAATTCACTGTTCAATATTTTACTGAGCACAACAAACAAGGCAGAACCAAATCAAGCATAGTTTACCATAATTAGATATTTATAACATAACAGCAAAACTCCCAATGATATTTAAATGTGAAATGTAACTAAAGTGGAACTGCATACTTAATCAATAGAGGACGTCCAAACCAGGGGCAACAGATTATCTATTAAAGTAGTTTAACTGCTAACCATTCGAACGTTGTTGGTAAGCTTGAAAGACCGCCAGCAAAGATGTTGTTTCTACTTAATGTCATTTCACTCAACAAAATTAGATAGAGAGTAATTTGTCTATATCAAAGTTGACATTCATTTTTTGTCTTTTAATGAGGTTTTACTTTCCTGTACTTGAAACTAATTTAAATTTGGGGATGACAGGCCCACACCAGCCTGTCATCCTCCTCCCTCCCTTTCCATGACTCGAATGTGGCTCCTATCAATCTATAGAAAAAAGAAAATTTACTGCAATTGCACAGTCTGTTAAAATTTTTGCACTGCTTTCTTGACTCCTTTAAAGATACAAAAAACAGTCAACAGCAGCCAGTATAAAATCAGGTAGAAATGTTAATTTGCCGCTATAAAGTTGCCTGCGGAATCTGCCAATATTTTCATGGCAGGAAATCCTCCACCTGCAGAAAATTAGGAATGGAAAAACAAATACCAAAAGGATGCATTTAATTTAATCCACCCTCTAAATGTAGTTATAGTGAAAAACAGAAGCTGAAACATTGAAATACTTGTATAAGCTTGTTCTTGTTATTCAAACATACATTATGCAGAATTAAGGACTTAGGATACAGCACCTAAATATTAGAATCTGCCTATTCAGGTGAATATTCAAGATCCCAAGTCACTATTCAAACATAATTTCTCACAGTGCTCTGGCCAGCAATCTCCCAAATAAAAAATATTACATTACAGTTTAACATTCATTTCCAGATTACATCTAGAAATTCCTCATCCGTTTGATTATTTCAATCAGAGTTTGAAGTATCTTAGTACTGCATATCTTAAAAAAGTGGCATTGTGTACATTTTTAACACTAAATTATAAAGGGGAATCTTAGGTAACTCCCGAGGTTTGCAGTTTTCACGGTTTCAAATTGTTAAAAGATTTTTAGTTGTAAGCAAAAGGCATCTCAAACGTGAAAAGTGAGCTGGTATTTCCACACTGTAAAGCTTAAAACAGTTTGACATGCTTCACTTTTCCATGCGAGAGAGGTTTCTGGCAGGTTTCACTTCAGACGGTGTTTACAGTTTCTCAAATTGCAGGTTGTATAGTCATTATGGAAAACTAAGAAAGCCACTGCCAGATATGAAGTCTCAAATACTGCCCACAGCCAATTACATATTTCAAAGGCTGCTTCAAAGTCAACTATGCAAACAGTACATTCATACTTATTATGAACAGCAGACGCGCCAGTATTTTTGGACCAAGTGAACACTATACTTCTGTTTCGAAAGGCCAGACACACAAAGCAGTTCCCATGACATCTCAGCTTCTTTTGTAAACAACTTGAACTTACCAGAATGAGGACTTACCAATAACATGGTGCTTATTTAAGTATAAAACAATTCCTATCGCAATTGATGTATAAATGTTGAAAGGTTCACATGCGTTGAATCAGAAATGCAATACTATGATTGAGTAGCAATAGTCCCACTTACTAAGTGGTGTAGTAGCCACAGTGTTTCTCTAAGAGTAAGTGTGAACAGTATTTCTGAACACTCTTGGATTGCCCATTGACTGTGCTCTATCAGGAAAAAGAATAACTATGCACATGCACAGCTAGAATGCAAACATCTCTGGTCACGAGGCTCCAGGTACTTAAAAAAGTAGCATGCAGAAATTTGAAGTATAACTGGTTAATCAACACTGAATTATCTGTTGAACTGACTGCACGTATTCTCCAAGCAAAGCACAGTACCAAGTTGCCTGCAGGATTCTGCATCACACTTCATACAATGCAATGCATTGTTGAAATCAGTACAAGACAAAGATCATGCCACAACAACCAATCACGTAGCATAAATGAATAATAAGAGTACATTTTAAGCAATAATTTCCATTTGTTGGAGGAGTCTGAGGCAATGATTTGCTGTTTTGCTTGGCATCTTTAATCAAAGCATCTATTTGTTGCTCAAGAAAATCCTAAAAATGGAAGGGCTTATAGCTACTTTGATATACGACATACAGTACAAGATGTGTATACCAGTGTTGCTTAATCTAAAATTCAATGTTTTTATCAGTTGCAGACTTGATTTTCACCACTCAAGTTCGCGGTCAAAGAACTTTGGCATTGTAACTTTTGTCAATCACATCATCAAATATAAATGGTCAATCAGCTTTAACATTCGATCGGCATTGTATGTTTTGCCAATTGAATAAGTATCATGTGAAGTGAACACAACAACAACAACAACAACAACAAGATTCCATTTATAAAGCGCCTTTCACGTCAGGAGGACGTCCCAAGGCGCTGCACAGTTGGGTCATGACCCGAGCAGGGGGGAAATGGTCAGGGTGAGGGGAGGGTAGGGAGGGAGCGAGGAGGGGGGAAATGGTCAGGGTGAGGGGAGGGAAGGGAGGGAGCAAGGAACAGAAAAATGAAATAGTATGGGTCTATATAACATTGATGTGTGCAATTATAATTTGGTATTAGCAAGCAATTATTATCAGAAAAATTATCCAATTAATTAATTTTGATACAATAAAACAAGAGGAAGAACAGTCTGTCAAGTTTACTTACTTGTTGAGAACACTGTCCAAAGCATCAGTTCCTCTATTCAAATGCTCATCCTGTCCAGCAACTTTGGAACTAGCAGGGTTCTGTCGATCACGATTTAAGATTACTGTCATCTGCGGTACAGTGCTGCAAGAAATATCGGAGAAAGAAGAGAATTTAAACATAGAATCTCACATAATCATACAACACAAAGCATCCAAAAAGTAAACACTACGAATGTTTTAATTCCTCAAACAACTCTTGTTTGAGAATTAGAAAATTGAAGTCGCTGAGGCGCTCCTTGGACTTACAATATTTCAGATGTCCCTCTCTCTATACCTCAACAGCTGTGAACAGTTATCAAATCAGGCAGAATTTTCAAGCTTTCACACCATCTTTTTGTGCTATAACTTTGCAAATGTTTTGCAGTCCCAAGATTTAAATTTTTGATCAGAAATGGTTTTAACCTACATAGGGAGGTTATGGTTAATCTATACAAAACACTGGTTAGGCCACAGCTGGAGTACTGCGTCCAGTTCTGGGCACTTTACTTCAGGAAGGACTTAAAGGCACTGGAAAGAGTGCAGAGGAGATTCACGAGAATGATACCAGGAATGGGGAACCTTAGCTATGAGGACAGGCTGGAGAAGTTAGGACTTTTCTCATTAGAGCAGAGAAGGTTACATGGGAACCTGATAGAGGTCTTCAAGATCATGAAAGATTTTGACAGGCTAAGTAAAGAAAAGCTGTTTCTGCTGGTAGGTGTGTCTGTGACCCATGGTCACAGTCTTAAGATATCTACCAAACGAAGCAGAGGGGAGGTTAGAAGAAATTTTTTTCACTCAGCGAGTTGTTCAAATTTGGAATGATCTGCCTGAAAGAGTAGTGAAGTCCAATTCAATAACAGCTTTTAAGAGAGAACTGGATAGGTACCTGGGGAAGACGGGTTTGCAGGTTTATGGGGAGAAAGCTGGTGACTGGGGTTAGTGAAAGTGACTTGCTCTGTCAAAGAGCCGGCACAGACTCGATGGGCCGAATGGCCTCCTTCTGTGCCGTAACATTCTATGAATCTATTCTGTGAAAAAACGTGCAAATTGATCCAAGTATACATGACATTTGGTTGGACATTTGGAGTATGAAATATGCATTAATCTGAGGAACATAATCATCTGACTAAGTTTTCTATTTTAAAAAAATTAAATGGCATGGTGGCCAAAAAGACCATCAAGTGGTAGCTGAACAGTTTTGATTCTCCCACCCTTCTGAATTTCTGAACTCAATGATGCTGTTGTGAGAAGGACTCCATCATTGCCAGAAGACTTCTTACAGTAAAGTGTCAAGTTTCTCTTAGCAGCTAGATTAAAAACTAATACTGGCAGAGCACTGGAAAACAGCAAGATGTCCATCCATTCTAATGCAAACATAAATTGTGAATGTTAAATCTATTTAACTTTTAAAATTATATACAGTTTTGTTTTCTTAAATCAACATAGATGACAAGTGGACAAGAAAACTGCCGAAGAACTGGGTTCCAATCAAAACCTATTCACTGCAACATAAAGACAATGATTGGATCTGAAATCACTCATCTCTCTTTAATTATATCAACAACTGCAAAAATGTCAGTTATGCAAATCTCCACTTTTAAAGCTTCTTCATGGTGTACCAATTTCTTTATATGAAAAGTAGGGTAACATGAATCTAGCTTTCATGGGTCCAGGAACTTATATCAGGTTAACAGTGTCTTTACAATATATAGCTTGATAGACAAGCAGACTATCAAAGCAACACCATTTTACTGACAACAAATATCAACTTCCATATGTTCATGTTATCAAACACAAATAGTCAATCATATTGTACATTATATACAATATCATATTGTACATTATATAAGTCTGGAAAATTCAATCAATTTAAATTCTGCACTTAAAAAAACTTTTTGTGAAATTAACTCTAAATTTAATTTCTGACCTCCTGTACAACTCAACTTACAAAAAACAAAGGTGTACAAACAAACTTCCTCAATGACAGTCCGCAGCATACCTGCGGACTTTGTTCCATGTCTGTGTTGCTCCCAGAGGAGACCCTGCCACCATAGGAACCTGGATAGGACTATTTTGTTTGTTAAGAGCCAAGTCTATTTTTTCTTCAATAGCTTTACATGTTGCTTCCACAGCCTGGATTTTGGCTTCAATACTATCAAGACGTAAACAAATGGCTTGATTAATGTCAAAAAGAATGGACTGTAAAAAAAAGGAAAAGGATAATCAACAACAAGGTCTACAAATGTCATCAAACCACATGTTCATTGTACTTTATGTTTTGAAATTACATTTCTTACTCTAAATGTTCATACAAAAACCCGTGATCCATAATCTATCTATTATTCCAGAATCTGTATACACTGGTTTTATCTATAAATCCTTCAATGAGTTCAAATATGAACTGCTCATGATTAAACCTTAGTTCAGTGATTTCATCAGAACAAAGGTTAATGATTAAGTTGAAACATGGACAAATGCAGTAGTTCAATTTGTTAAGTTTACAAGTTCTGCTTGTAAATTTTATATTTTCAATGTTTCAATGATTATGCAAGACACATTGTAACATTTTCCTCTGTGTGTTATGTGGTTGGATCCATTCATTAAGTAATCTGTTGCAGCAAATACAGTGTGCTATCCTTTATTTAACTACTTTGATACTCATGATATACATACTACTTTATCATACAATATCTAATGCATTCATAAAAACAACAGATCTTAATCTCATCAGTTGTGTATTCTAACATAGAATAAAACACAAGTATCATGATTTTAAAGTTCCTTTTCAAAAATTGCAACACCCAATGAATAACACAAAAAAAATCAGAATTAAAAGGGCTAAAAATGACTTCCTCTACGTCAAACTTATGAACTGGTAAACACTGTTCCAGGGTGATGAGAAATTCTGCGCAAGATTCAGAACCAGGCTCTTAGTAACAAGATACCTTTCCTAGCTATGAAGCACACTCACCATCTAGTGGATTACATTAAGTATAGCATGAATTACTTTGCCAATGTCGGTTAGAAAGAATGAAAACACATAAGGAGGCATGGAATTGGGACAATTCATGTGACAGATCAAGCCCCAATTGTTTTTGAATAATTTGGTATAAATTGGTAAATGTATCAATATAACAGAATACTAAAGTTTTGCACGCATCCAATTGCTTTTTTATCAGATCTCCTAATAAAAAGTTACATTGAAACAAATAAGTCAAAATTTACAACAGCAAAATGCAACAACCTGATAAGATTATGTAAAGATATATGGGAACTGTATTTCGAAAAATAGGCACAAGAAAATTAAGTTTAGGTCTCTACCTAAATTATTGCTGACAAGAATCAGACAATTTGCTGCTGAAATCATGGTCTTTGCTGGAATTGAAGTTGAAAACAAATATCCAGTCCATGCAACCAGATCGTGATTTGCCTTCATAAGCTTCATGTTTCAGCCACTATGCCCAGAAACTCTGGAACACTCTTCCTCTATCTCTCCCCTCCACCTTGCCCCTTCCTTCCCTATCTTCAGGTCGCTCCTGAAGACCTTCCTATTCAACGTGCCTACAGCCACCTCCCTCTCCCCCTGGTTCAATGTCGTACTCCGCCACCATCGACCGCTCTGGGACTCTAGCCGTCATGAGATATAGTTATAATGCAAGTCAATGTTGTATTTCACTACATGCAAAATAATCTCAGGGTGTTCCCAGTGTCAAGCTCAAAAGCAGCATGCTCTTAGTCATCAAAGCCCACAGGGAAGAAATGACTATTTTTTTTTTTAAAAAAACTCATAATCAACCAAATGTAGAAAGATAATCAAATTTTGAATGAAACAGTAAACATCAATACAAAGAGATGAGTTGAGGTTCACAAAAGAAGTTCAGTAAACGAATCTCATCTCTTCATGCATTTAAAACTAGAGGAAAATGTTTTTTCAAGAGCAATTTATCGTCTTAGATGTTAAAATAGTTGATGCTAACTTGCCAAAAATGTGCTGGTTTCTAGTTGAACACTGGTTTAAGTAACCAATTTAATATCATTGACCTTGTAAAACGACCGTCTCACGATCCCTTCTAACTTTACCTTTATTGTGGCATCCTGGCTAGGATGTCCATTTGAAACTTCGACTCGTTTACGTTTCAGAGTTGGTTCCACAATCCCATGTTCGGGCTTTTGATTTTCTAAAACTTCTGAAATAGATTTTAAAAAAATTTATAACTTCACATTATATACCACAAAAGCCTGGAAAACTAGTATCATTTACATTTTCATAGTGACAACTATTGTTGTGAAAAACAAGTTTCATACAATGAAAATAAAATTAAGATCTTAAAGAGTTTAAATATTGGTTCAACATTATTTTGAAAGTATCACTTTAAAGCGCTCTGCTGTTACCTCAGCTCACCTGCTTGATCATGGGTCAAGTCATCAACTGCAATCTGAACCACATCTGTCAAATCGTGTTCTGACATCATCTGGTTACCACCAGGAAGTAACCACCAATCCAAACAATTATTTCACTGAAATGAAACAAATCAAAAATTAAACACGATTAATGTGAAAGAACATGAAGATTCCATACTAAGATCAACACTTTTTTTTAAATTATGTTCAGGTGGCGGCAGCTATTTCAGGTGAACAAAATAGAAGACTCCACTGACAATCTATTTAATTTCAACATCATGGATACCACTGAATATGTAACTGGAAATCAATGCTTGAAGCTTTTGATTATTTTATTCAAAATCTATTCAACTTTAATTTACAGAATGTTACAGTGGTTCAGATTCTCAGAATCGCATCATTGGAGACCATTCAGCCCATTGAACTTGTCCCAGTACTAGCTCCACTGGAACTTACCCTCGAATCCCAATTTCCTAGAACCACAGAAATATATTTCTACTCATTGTTCTGTTGCTGGCTATCTGAAAGAGCAATTCCATAAGTCCCATTCTCCTCCATGAGAAGAGTTTCCATGCTGGATGTCATATTGACAGCTAGCAGAGAGTCCTGTGGTTAAGTGGTTATTTCGCACTGCCTGGGAATCAGACCCAGGCCCTCTTGTTTGAGATATTAGTCAAGTTTCCTTACTACACAAGCCTCTATTTACCTAGCAGTAACTAGGAACCCAGTTGTTAGTCGATTGGCAGATTGTTTTTCTGGGGATAATAATCCCTTCAAAAAAGAATGATAACTTGATTACTCAATCCACGTTTGTTTGTGTGACACTGCTGTGGCTGTCACATTTCACCCACAAAATATACAGTCAATTCACTTAGCAGTATATTCTGTTTGAAACGTCTCGAAGACGTGATAAGGCACTATATCAAGTGCAAGAATTATTATATTAACACATGCCACTAAGTGATTATTACTTCTAAAAGGTTACCCGCCGCAGACATTAGGCTAACTGGTCTATTGTTACCGTGTAATAATAATAATCCTTGCATTTGATCTAGTGTCTTTTCACCTCTTCAAGACATCTCAAAGCGGTTCACAGAATATACTGAAAATGAATTGACTGTATATTTTGTGGGCGAAACGCAACCGTTTATATTGTTCCTCCTAAACGGTCATCTAATTCTCTTTAAATGTTATGCTCTTTGCTTCAATAGCCAATTTTGCGAATTCATCATATGCCCTTTCTCGGCAGTATTATGGCCTTTTCTACAATTCATTCCACTTTTAAAGATTTATATACCTGAATCATCAGGTCTCTTTATTCCTCAACACCATTAAGAACTTCAAAATTGAGAATATTGTCCAACCTTTGTTTGCCGTCATCCTCCCAACGTGAAAGGTACTACATAAATGTAACTTTGATTTGCATAATCAGTACTTCACATTTTTCAACATTAAACTGCATCTACCGCCCATTTGCTCACTCTGCAGTTTCCTGCCTTCTTCCTCACAGCTTGCCACAGATCTACGTTGTTATCATTAAATGGTTTGTCCACTGGCCAACTCATTGATGTACTAACATGCTGTACTTTAAGTGCTCCAGAACACTACTCTGTCTGGAGGGTGCTATATAAATGCAAGTTGTTGTACTGCAGAATGATAGAATATGGTTTTGTTAACGTTCTACATGAGCAATAATATACATACATGAGAAAAGGAGCATGTAAGAATTATGCTATAATGAGCACTGTTCACAATGTTTGTGCTTCACTGGAATAAACGGAAGTGTATGTATCCAGCATTTTGAAAGTGATTACTGTATTTTATTGAAAAAATGTTTAAAGGAAACTACATTTGAAGTAAGAAGCCAACAACGATGAAATTTATGCCTTTTAAAATATGTTGAAATGTTCCTCCGATGACCAAAAGACACATAGAACAAAAGGTTACACGTTCAATTTCTATTTTATCCTGATTTAACAAATCTCAAGCAGGTATTCATTAAAGACGCCACAATCAGCTTTAGTTCACATTTATTAGGGAGAGGAAAATTCAACTCAAGGTTCCCTGTCCTGATCACTGTCCAACGACCACTGCCGGACGTTAAGTGAAGATTGGAATCAATTGTGATCCTTCATTTCTCCCCCTCCCCGATCAACCATCCCTCCACAACCACCACAAAAGTGTTCAATGTTTTAATACACCAATTCACCAGTCAACACTAAAGGAGCTTCAATTAATCTTTTTAACAAAGCTGTAATTTAATATTAAGTTTCAAATTACATTTAGAAACGATGGGAATGCGATCTGAACGGACCGCATTGCATCCATGTTATTCACATCAACCATTTACTATTATGTTCTCACTGCAAGTTTTTAACAATTGTTGGGAGAAATGTAACATTCTGCAGCATTCACACGACTATCTAATGTTTCAACTTCATTCAATCTCTAAGAATGAAAGGATTCTTGCAAAATAATTATATTCTCTGTATTGCATAACTGTTGGTAAAAACATCAATGATGTAGTTTTCCTTCAGATGTCCAATGCCCTCCAAGTTTCAGATAACGGTAATAAAGGACAGAAGAGTTCACTCTATTGTTGCGACAGTCTTCATCAGGTCTTTTTTGGTCAGCCGGGTGTCTGATACATGCAGAAACCCATCACATGCTTAACAATATTCGAACCAAACTGAGAATCCCATGCATCTCACCTACACATGGAAACTCTTGGCTCAGGAAATGGACTACCGAGATCACCACAGAAGGTTGGCCCAATTCTGACATTCCCTAGTTCATCATTTGACATCCAACAAGCACTTGTTTGAGCCCTCTCTAAGTGGATAGTAGGAACTCCTTGTGAACTGCCTGGTAGGCGAACAGCTCAGTATACGCATTTAATATTTAATATATGCAGGGGGGAAATAATCAGGGTGAGGGGAAGGAGCGAGAAGGGGGTAGAGAGTCGAGAGGGGAGCTGAAGGCACGGTCAAAGAGAAAGGTCTTGAGACCGGCCTTGAAGGAGGAAAGGGAGGAAGCGGCGAAGGCACTGGGGGATGGAGTTCCAGAGCCTCGGGGCTGAGAGGCTGAAGGCCCGGCCACCGATGGTAGGGCGGTTGGGGCAGGGGGTGTGGAGCAGACCGGAGCCAGAGGAACGGAGGGTACGGGCAGGTAAGTAGGGGGATAGTAGGTCGGAGAGGTAGGAGGGAGCGAGGCCATGAATGGCCTTGTAGGCGAGGATGAGGATCTTGAATTCGATCCTCTGGGGGATGGGGAGCCAGTGGAGGCGAGCGAGGGTGGGAGTGATGTGGTCCCGAAGCCTGGTGCGGGACAGTACACGAGCTGCAGAGTTCTGAATGACCTGCAGCTTGTGGAGGGAGGTGCCGGGAAGGCCGGCGAAGAGAGTTCCCATAGTCCAGCCTTGAGGTGATAAAGGCGTGGACTTGTTTACAACAGGAAAATTTCTCTGGGGAATTCTCCATAAAAAGGGGCAACGGTTTTTGCTTACATTCTTTTTTCTTGAAATTTATTGTTAGACCAGTGAGGTACAGCTTGATTATGCAGAGGCGCTTTTTCAAAGATAATGCAACTTAGAAGCCCTTGTGGGGCATGTCCTATGCAAACACGTTTGCAAATCAATACAGTTCGAAGGACAGATCAACACATACTGTCCTGAAGCTGTCAACTCTGCTACAATGGTTGTGGAGGACAATTGTTTGCACCAGTTCAGGGCAACTGCAATATTTCAATGCTCCCAAAACACTGAAATGAATGCATCGATATGAATAAAGGGGCGGGGGGCGGGGGGGGTGGGGGTGAGGTTTGCTGCAAGAATTTCGTGTAAATTGTGCTGAAGTATACCCGTATAGTATACGCACGCATAACCTGTGCGGTTCGTACAGTCAAGAGAGCGGTCGTGCAAACGGCGACCTGCGGCAGCCGTGTGCGGCGCCGTCCACGATTTCTGCGAGACGTGGGGGGGGGTTCGTACGGCGTTCGCAAGTTTTTCGTACGGCGTTCGCAAACTCGCAGCCTCGAGCACTTTTTACGAAAGACAGGCGGCGGCGGCGGACAACCGGCACAACGCGAACCGCGGGGGCGGCGCTTTCGTCTCACCCGCGGGGGCGTAAATAAAAGACCCCGTCAACCAACCACCGGTAAGTTTTTGTTCTTTTTTTTCCCCCCCCCAAAAAAAACCACTTTTATTTTCAACTTAACTCCTCACTCCGCGAAGTCGGTTCGCAACGAGGTTCCCCCCCGTGAAATTAAACCCGTCTTTTGACTCTGCGTGTGCTGTTCCATGCAATTTGCCCCAAATTAAGTCACTCGCTCGGGCCCTCGGCGGCGGCGGCGGCGGAGTTGGGGGGGGAGTGGGGAGTGTGGGAGCAAACACAGGGTTCATTAAACAGCGCGACTTTTAGCGTCGAACGATTTTTTTTTCTCGATGTTGTTGTTGTTTTTTTTCAACAAAAAAAAGCCCAAATTGAACATATTTTTCTTAGGCCGAACCTCAAGCGTTTGACGTGAAAAAAATCTACTTTTTAACAGCACGTTCGTTCTTCTCCCCTCTTCGCCACTCTTCCCCCCCCCCCCCCAACCGCCAGCATCCAAACGCGAAAATAAAATAAAACACAGCACACACACACAAATATATATATATATATTTTTTTTTAAAAAAACACTTTTAACCGAAACTGAACGGAACCGAACCCATTTCACTCCGTTAAATAAAAACACCCGCCACGTTTCCACCGTTTTACTTTTAAATATAACATGAACGGGATGGGGGGGGGGAAGGGGGGAGAAGGGGGGAAAACACCCGCAAAGATAACCGACCATAAACACACACACACAAAGCCCCAGAAACAAAAAAAAACCTCGAGGGGGGAGGGGATGGGAGAAAAGAAAAAAATGTTTTGTTTTAAAAAAAATTTAAAAAAATCAAAAAAAATCGGGACGGTTCTCCTCTAGGCCCCTCCGCCCGACTGTTGTAATATAAATCTTTTATTTTTTTTCTCTTTTTCCCCTTTTCCCCCCACACCGGTTTCGCCGGCGTTTTTTCTCTTCCCGCGGCCGGAGCGAGCGCGAGGGGGGTTATGAGTGAGAGGCGCCCAAGTCGCGGCGGTTATTACCGTTCAATTCTCGTTTCTTGTTTGTTAAAATCCGATAATGGCGTCCTTCCTCGCGAGAGAATCGCTCTCCTCCCCACACACACACACAAACACACACACATACGCACACACACACGCACACACACGGCAACGGCCGCGGCCGCGACGCACCTCACCCGCGCCACAGCGCCGCCCTGGACAACATGGCGCCCGCTCGAGCGCCTGGGGCGAGCGGGAGGGGGAGGGAGGGAGGGAAGGAGGGGGAGGGGTGGGAGACCTGTCAATCAACCAAACGCGCAGTGGGGGGAGGAGCGTGAGCCTGGGAGACCTGTCAATCAACCAAACGCACAGTGAGGGAGGGGGAGGAGCGTGAGCCTGGGAGACCTGTCAATCAACCAAACGCGCAGTGAGGGAGGGGGAGGAGCGTGAGCCTGGGAGACCTGTCAATCAACCAAACGCACAGTGAGGGAGGGGGAGGAGCGTGAGCCTGGGAGACCTGTCAATCAACCAAACGCACAGAGTGAGAGAGAGGGGGGGCGTGGGGTGGGGGAGGAGCGTGAGCCTGGGAGACCTGTCAATCAACCAGCGGATGATGGCAGGGACGGAGGGAGCGCTCGTTTGACCTGTCAATCAGCGAGAGAGAGAGAGCGCGCATGCGCGAGACAGACCAGCTCAGGACAAGTGCAATGTGGTCCTCCCCAAACGCACGGCACCATCACCACAACAACAACAACAACAACAAAATCACTTTTGCATAACTCCTTTCGCATCGGGAGGACGCCCGCAGCTTGAATTTTGCATCGCGCCCTTCACCCGGGACAGCGTCCCCCAGCGCTTGAAACGCGCTCCCTTTCGTCGAAGGAAATGACGACAACAGCAGCAGCAACGAATCGCATTTAAGTCCCAAGGCGCTGGACAGTCAGATGTCGGGGGCCCGAGCATGGGGGAGGGGGGAGGGAAGGCAGAGAGGTGGGAGGGCGGCCGAAGGCACGATCGAAGAGGAGGGTCTTGAGGCCGGCCTTGAAGGAGGCGAGGCGAAGGGATCGTGGGATGGAGTTCCAGAGTGTGGGGGCAGAGAGGCTGAAAGCCCGGCCACCAATAGTAGGGCAGATCAGGCGGGAGACATGGAGTAGGCAGGAGCCCGCTGAACGGAGGGAGCGGGCAGGTTGGTAGGGAGTCAGCAGGTCAGAGAGGTAGGAGGGGGTAAGCAGGAATCTGATTGTTAGTCTATTGGCACATCACTTTCTGCGGTTAATGAACCCTTCAAAAAAAAAAAAATTTGGTCACTCAATCCACTATTGGGTGCTAGATTTCGCCCACAAAATATACAGTCACTTTGCAGTGTATTTTGTGAAGTGCTGTGAGACATCTTGAAGACATGATAAGGAGCTGTATCAAATCAAGGATTATTATTATAATTTAGTGTTAATTTTTTTTGGTTTCTCCACCCTGCCCATTCTCCAACTCTCCAACTTCCCCAACTAACCTTAAGCCTTTGTACACAAATGTCTTGCAGAGGGCAGAACAGAACAGTTCCTTTTATGTGATAAGGCACAGGATGAAAAGAATAAAACATAATGTGCCATTTGGATTGTTTCGGATAAGTTGCTGAGGTCAGAATGGAATTGCACAAAGCGGGCTTTCATCAGAAGGGAGGAAAAACAATGGCAAACCCATTTTCAATGAAAACAATTATATAGGCTGTACATATATTTTTAATCAGTTTATTATTTTTAATAAATGACTCCCAAGTTACTGCTGGGAGGGTACCTTACACACGTGAATAAGGCTTTTAACAGCAAAATACTGTATTGGATTAATGATTTTTTTTCCTGGACAATTTTCGCCTGTCATAGTTGCATAATACACAAAATATATTTGAGGGAAGCTTTTCCTACAGTATTTGTCCAATTCATTCCAGAAATTATAGAATTTCCAAGATGGGCTTCCTTATTCCGAAAAACTGATTGTCCAGCGCCCTGGGACATCCTCCCAATGTGAAAAGCGCTATACAAATGGAATTTTGTTGTTGTATTTTGTTGTTATTAAGAATACTGAGACGCTACCCCTCATGAAGGCCGCTATATAAATGCAAGTTGTTTTTGTTAGTCCTGTCCGCTGAGTTTTGAAGGAATTTTCAGTGCAAAGTCTCCTTTATCTTGCTTGTCTCTGATATTTACTTTGTCTCTTAACGGATAATTACCTCTTTTTTCTGGTGACTCCTTGGACTTTGAATGGAAGAACCATCTGTGGTGATACAAAAAATATATTTTTTTGATCAGCAAGGTGTTTGACACATGCAGAAACCTATCACCATGTTTAATAGTATTCAAACCAGACAGAATTTCACAGATGTATGCCGCCTGCACATAGAAATTTCTCTGTGACTGGACTCTCTCCCTGGAGGGACACACTCTGTTTTGCCTAATCCAGAGAATATTAGACACAGGTTGGCGAGAGCCAAGGCATGCGGATCCCAAAGTGTGAATTGTGGTCCTGTTGGAGTTTAACCATCTAAAACCACATCGACTGCCATTGAGAACACTGTCCAGCAAGCTTCTTGCTGCTTGTTCACCTAGAACTAACCTATCTGCTAAGGTTTGCAAAGTTAACAAGAGTCAAGTGGGAAGAATCTCTTCCCCTCCAAGTTCTGCTGGTGAGCCAGACTGGCTGGTCTGCCATTAGCATTTGGCCTTACGTGGAGTACTAGAGACCTGCATGGCTCGGGAACAAGGCTAGGGAGACCACCACAGAGAGATGACTCGATTTTCTCATTCCAATACCAAGGATGTCACATAGGAACCAGCTCAACTCCAAGGAGACCCCAAACCCCAATTATCTCTCTTCCACCGAAAATAATATTTTATTTTAAAAATAAGTAGAATTTTAACCATTAAATGGGTTTCATTTAATCTGATGGAATCAAATCCATCAGATTGCAGATGAAATGACCATATTCAAGGCCAGATTATCACTGTATCAGAGAAAGTATCATACAAACATTCATGCAATTCCTGACATGTGTTGCAATCATAACATTGATCTTTACGTAAACATTTCTGGGTTAATCTTTGAACATTTCAACATTTACATGCGTCCTCTTGGTGACATAATTCGTAGACATCTTCCTCATGTAGGCAGATAACAACTCTATCTTTCTGCGTCCACCCTCGACTTCACAGACTGCCTGTGGGACATCAAGTTCTGGATGAGAGCTAACTTTCTCCAGTTCGATGTCAACAAAACCGAGGCCCTTCTGCTTGGCTCCCATCAGCGCTTCTATACCTCGGGCACTGACAACATCACCCTTCATGGATGCACTCTACACCTTACGGAGCCAATATGGAATCTCAGCATCCTCTTCGACCCTCAACTGTCCTTTATCCACCACATGAAGAACAGTTGGGGCAAAGTCAACAAGAGCCAAGTGGGAAGAATCTCTGCCCCTCCAAGTTCTGCTGGAGGGGCAGAGATTCCTCCTTTCCCCACCTCCGCAACATTGCTCCGTCTCCGCCACTGTCTCTCAGCGGAGGCCGCCGAGACCCTATTCCACGCATTCATTACATCCAGGCTGGACAAAGCAAACTCCTTGCTTGTCAGTCTTCCCAACCCCTCCCTTGACAGGCTGCAGATCATCCAGAACTCTGCAGCCTTCCTCCTCCCTACCTCCGTAACCTCTTAACCCCCTACCAACCTGTGCGCTCCTCTCCGCCATCACCCTCTGGAACTCCATCCCGCAGTCCCTCTGTCTTGCTCACTCCCTTTCCCTCCATCAAGACCCGTCTCAAGACCCTCCTCTTCGACCGTGCCTTCAGTCAGCCTCCGCCCTCCACCCCTCCTGATCCCAACCACCAGATCGGGTTCGGATCCCTGACCGTCCAGCGCTTTGGGACATCCTCCTGGCGTGAAAGGCACTGTCCAAATGCAAGTTGTTGTTGTTCTTGCGATCCAGTATTGCTGTTTCACATCCAGGTGACCTGAGGGCCAACTACGGGATTAAACCGTTACAGGAACGCGGTGCATAAAAAGGTTGTGTTTTTTTTAAATGTATATATAGATATAAAAAAAGTTTCGAAAAGCAAAAAGTCCAGTCATTTGTCTGTGACCTTCGGTGAGGTCAGCACTGTTTGCACGAACCAGTAAAGGCTAACATTTGGACAAGATTTGAGTTGAACAGGTAAAGACCCTAAACCTTGTTGTGTTTTCTCTCCACTCTGAACAGCTCGGGGTGTGTCCCCCCCCACCCCCCCAACACACACACACACACCCCCTCCTCCCCATCCCAAGGCTCCTGGTGTCTCTCAGTCAGTCAGTCAGTCACCAGTTGGGCTTTGGAGCCAATGGCATTCATCGGAAGCGAACGAAAATCGACTCGAATCGCGCAAGATTGTGCAATCGGCCGCGGGGTCGGACGAAGCGTTCGCACGGCGCGTTTTGTGGCGTGTTTTTACCCACCCGGGATCGAACCGTGTGTGTAGGGGTGTGAGAGAGAGAGAGAGAGGGAGACAGTGACACAGACAGGTCCTGACAGTGTGAGCTCCGCACAGCACAGCACAGCTCCACACACACACAGCACAGCTCCACACACACAGCACAGCTCCACACACACAGCACAGCTCCACACACACAGCACAGCACCGCACAGCTCCACACACAGAGAGAGCAGATGATGTTTCGTTTCCAAGCCTTTCTCCCTCTTGCGAAGCGTCTGCGAATCGTTCCCAACCATCGCTGCGCACCGTCCAGGAATTGCAACCTCCTCGCCTGTTCTCAGACTGCCAAGCCCGCAAGTGAGTACCGCAAATAAATGCACCTTTCCCCCTCCTTTTCTCTGTCTCTCTCTCTCTGTGTCTCTGTCTCTGTCTCTCTCTGTCTCTGTCTCGATCAGCCAGAGGAAGGAAGCAATGGCACGAAAGTTATCCCGTCTTCACAGCTGTCGTGTTTGCTGTGTGCAAAGAGCATCTCCTTTTTTTTTCAAACCAGTGTGTGTGTGTGTGTGTTCGTTTAAGTTTGCATTCAATTCTTCATTTCTTTCAATGCAAAAACACACCACACACACACACACAAATAAATCCATGATGTTGCTAACCTGGATTGGAGTGGGATCATCACTCCCAACTTTTATTTCAATAACTATTCTTTTTCACCACACCCCCACCCACCCCCCAAAAAAAAAATTCCCCCCCCAAAAAAAGATTAAAATAGCGTTTGACCGCGGATACCGCGGCTGTTTGTGTCGTATTTGCGTTTCAGCCCGAGGTGTGTTCCAGGCGATGTTCCAGGAACAACTCTGCAGGTTTTTCCAGTTAACTTTGGGGTTTGGTGCCCATCTACAGTGCGAGCCTTTGGGCAAATTCCGTGCTCGTCTACCGGGAGGACTGAGCGCACCGTTTGGTTACTGGCGTGCGGCAAGGCTAACTTGCTGAACTGGCTCCAAAGTGACATGCTTGGCAACTGAATGGCAGAATCGAGCCGGCCCTCTGTGGCGGTCTCGGTAGTCTGGTTCTGAGCCAGGCAGGTCCGCAGTATTCCAGGGCACCGCTGATGACCGCACAGCCCAGCCTAGGTCATCAGCGGGACTTGGGAGGGGCAGACCAGTCAAATCAGGGGTTAGGGAATCTTCCCACTCCGTTCCCGTTAACCCTGCAAACCAAAGCCCGCACGGGTCGGTTGGTCCTAGCTGGACAAGCAGTGGGAATCCTTGCCAGCCAGCAATATCAATGGCAAGCTATGTGTCTTCAGTTGATTCGACTCCAACAGGACCCCAATGATCACTCTGGGGGTCCTCAAGCCTTGGCTCATGCCAACCTCCACCTAATGCTTTCTGGAATTAGTTAAGCAGATTGCACCTCCGGGGGGAGAGTGCGCATTCTATTCCAACAATCCATCTCTGGGATTTCCACGGTAAGTGGGATGCATGAAATTCTCAGTTTGGTTTGGATACACGTAAGCATGGGGATGGGTTTCCACGTATTTCAGAAACCCGGCTGACCCTCCAAAAAATAGCAAGTAAGATTTATTCGCCCCTCCCTCCCCTGAAATTTTTTAACCGCTACTGAGGTGCTTCATTTTGTACCTTAGTGATCAACAAAATGTCAGAAATTCCTGAGAGGAGGGGTTACATGGTGCCTGAAGCTCAATGAGGAGGGGCTTTTCGAGTCAGTGGCTTTTTTTCCTGTGTCTCGAGGGTGACAACCCTACTGACAATGCAACCATCTAAAAATCTGTACTGCTTTTTGAACAAACCTACAGTGTTTTTTCCTGAACATCTATCTACTGCTTTTCTTCTGAAAGTTTGGCAAGTATGAAATACAAATATATGCTAGATTGTGAAACAACAGCTATTGACCTTGTTAACATGACGTTATTTTTTCTGGTTTGTTTGCTAGACCAACAATCGTGGCAGACTCAAATCCAAGGAGGGTCCCGCCAGTCTCCCATTGATATTAGATCTTCTGAAAGTGTACACGACCCGCAACTGACTCCCTTAAGTATATCATATGACCCGAGCGATTGTCTTCAAATTTGGAACAACGGCTATTCATTTCTGGTGGAGTTTGATGATTCCAAAGACAACTCAGGTAATTGAGTCCAGAGAAAAATATGTTTTGAGAGTAGGAGTCATAATTTATTGATTTTACCGTTGCTCCTGGATATCTAATTGTCTTATTAATTTATTATGCATGCGTGTCAATTATGGCAAATTAGTTCTTGACAGATTACTGTGTAGCTGTTTTAGATCCTTATTACTCCCATGTTTTCAATTATTGAAATGCAGAAACACAGTGATTTTCTTTTACATTTCTGCAATTAAAATGTGATTTTGTGTATTTTGACCATATTGGACATGTCACTTCCATCATTGAGACAATGGCATAAAAAAGGATAAATAAAGTTTTGGCACAAAAGATATGCCCAATATATGACATTATTTCAACGAATGTGATAGAAAACTTGTGCTTTGAAAGATCCAAGTGAACTTGTATTTTAAGGAAACCATGGTAAAACGGCTTTGATGTCCTATCTGCTTTCCTCATGTAAACGGGTGTATTATTCAAACAAATGAAACCATTATCAGCATGACTAAAATTCACATACTTTTTTTAACAAACATGAATTTCATTGCAACATAGAAGTTGCAAATCTGACTTTACGTAATAATTGACTGAAACGTATCCCGTATTTGTGCGTTGCCCATAAAATATACAATCACTACACTTTACAGTATATTCTGTGAAGTGCTTTGAGACGCCTCAAAGACGTGATAAGGCGCTATGTGAAGTGCAAGGATTATTATCATTATTAGCAATCAATAATTAATCAGCACATTGATGAGGAAGAGTAAAGAGAGAAACAGAAGAATTAAAATAGTGGATTCCTGGCTGCACATGTACTAAATGCAGTCAAACGTGTCTTCAACAATCTCTTCAACAAAAGGTGACTTCTGAGTAAGGGTTCATTGATGTGTGAATTCCACACTGAAGGGGCAGTTCCAGGGTGGTTATTAATAGGGGGTGGTTGCTGAATGGAGGTGATTGCTTGAACAAGTTTGACTAAATAAAATAAATACACATCCTAAGAATAATAGGCCATATCCAATATGTGTTGTAAAGTACTATGTCAGCAAGGTTCGACCCATGCAGTCAGCTCTGACTCTGTTAATGTGGGACCTAACACCAGATACTTGCAGTTCTATCTGTATTGTACAATCCATTTTACTCTTTTGAGCTACATCTACAATGATTTGAGTGTGCATTGAGATCTGCAATAATCCAGTAATTATCCTTCTCATATTTGTCCTTAGATACATAATTCTCTTTTGCCTTCTCACCTTGAAGAAATATTGGCTCTGCTAAGACGTTCAACAAAATTACATTTGTATAAATGTAATTAATACAAAAAAAGGTTGGCTTACGGAAAATAACTATGTAAACTATGTAAGTAAATTCATGACACACAACTTTGAATTTTCCATTTGCTTCCACCTGCAGTTGTCAGTGGTGGACCACTGGAGAACCATTACAAATTAAAGCAGTTTCATTTCCATTGGGGGGCAGAGAATAATCGTGGATCAGAGCATACCATCAACAGTCTGGTGTATCCTGCAGAGGTATGTATGAATGCCTAATTCAGCAGTACATGAGCTTGAAAAGGCTCCTCTGGGAGAGGGGGGCAGGTTCATGCAGAGTATAACTATAAACCATAATCATAGATAAGTTGGGCCAAATGGCCTGTTTCTGTGCTGCCACATTCTACATAATTCAAAGTAAAATAATAAGAAATAATAATTCATACATTTGATATAGTGCCTTATCGCTTCTTTGAGACGTCTCAAAGCGCTTCACAGGATATACTGTAAAGTGAATTGATTGTATATTTTGTGGGTGAAACACGGCAGCCAATTGCACACAACAGTGTCCCACAAACAGTCGTGGATTCAGTGACCAAATTATTATTATTATTATTTTGAAGGGTTTGTTATTCTGGAAAAGCGATCTGCCAATAGACTAACATCCAAGTTCCTGCATACTGCTAGATTAACAGGGGTGTGTTGAGTATGGAACTTTGCCTAAGGTTTCACCCTGCAGATAGCACTGTATTTTCATGTCTGAATTAAATTATATAATTTTTAGCATATTAACAAGACTGAACTCATAGCAGTTGGGTATGGAGACTCTTAATTAAGGTGATGGGTTTCTGTGTGTGCATAGACACCCCGCTGACAATAAAAAGGTTTCAGCTTTTATCTGTAAAATTCACAAATAATGCATTGCTAATTTTTGTTGCTTTTTTAAAAAAAAAAGAGATACAGTTGATTTGAAGGGGTTTCCTTTGACAATTCTGTGTGCTGTGTGTTTGGGGAGGACTACATTGTACTTGTGCTAACCTTGCTTGGGGGTGGAGGAAAGAAACCTGCCCAACATTTTGCCCTACCGGGAATCAAACCCAGGTCTCTCGCTTGGGGGGCGAGTGTTCTAATCACTGAGCTACAGGAGACTCCTCAAACAGATAGATAACAAAGTTAGATTGGAAGGAAAGACTTATATATATGGTGGTTGCAACCATTTTGTAAGAATATACAGATCAGAAGGTAGAGGAAACTAAGGAAAAAAATCACCATCTACAACGGAACACAGAAAAAAACAGGAAGGGAGACAGATTGGGAAATACAGAGCAAAAACCTAATCTACTAGTGAATGAGTAGCAGGATATCAGCTCAGCAATTTCAGACTGGAGTCCTGTAGCTCAGTGGTTAGAGCACTCGCCTCGCAAGTGGGAGATCTGGGTTTGATTCCCAGCAGGTTGAAATGGTTGGGCAAGTTTCCTTACTCCGCATGTTTCTGTTTACTTAGCAGTAAATAGGAACCCAGTTCTTAGTCGATTGGCGGATCGCTTTTCTGGGGATAATAATTCCTTCAAAAAAATAAAGAAATAAATTGGTCACTTCAATCCACGACTGTTTGTGGGACACTGTGCGCAATTGGCTGCTGCTTTTCGCCCACATCCTACAGTCAATTCACTTCACAGTATATTCTGTGAAGGGCTTTAAGATGTCTCGAAGATGTAATAAGGGACTATATCAAATGCAAGGATTATTATTATTATTAGACTCCAAGTACATATCAGGATAGAAAATATTGGTGAATCAATGGATGTAGTATAGTGTACATCTATAAGTAAGCCCATTGGACCTGTAGATAAGAGCCCTGCTTGGACTAAACCCTGTCGATAATTGATAACAAACAGTATCTCAACTGAAAACTTGACACAGTTTCATTCAAATTTGACATACAAGCAGCTAGGAGAAGTTTGGTGAAGCACACTAAACAGTCACTGTGGGAAATTAACCTATAATTGGCAAGATATCTATACATGAGGCACAGTGATCTTATGTGCCAGAAGATAAGACATATACATTGAGTTTTACATTTGTTTTACATTGGCAATCTGGGTCAAGTTATATTTGGGGAAGTTGGTCTCTTCCCCAAATGGGGGAAATGGTATGAAATTAAAAGAGGCTGTCAGTGTTTCTACCGATTCGTAGAGTCAGATACAAGGAAAAGGAGACTCGAGCCAAATGGAAAAAACAACAAATAGTTTAAAAAGTCGACAAGCATACAAGACTAAATTGGGTCAGCTCAAGGGTAATTGTGGAGAGATCAGACAAATCCATAAGAATTTGTTTAGATGCCAAAGATCTAAATACAGCTAATGTAAAGGAAACATACACAATATCCACTGCACAAGATTTACAGGGAGTGGCCAACTACATTGGTGATATCTTGGTGTTTAGAGCATCAAGAGTAGGGAAATGACAGAACATTAAGGGCAAGATGACAGAAGTGCATAGCAGAAAACATTAAAGAGAATTGCCTCTTAATATATAACATTTGCTTTTCTGTCTCAATAAATTTATTTTGTTTTTCTCAGAACACATTCACCACTGTACTTTCAAACTTAGTGATCATAATTTCAGGGCCTATCTGCCCTGGAGAAAATTAGGCTGGAGGTATAAGGACTTCCATTACATTGTTCTGTGAAGCGCTTTGGGACGTCCTCCCGACGTGAAAAGCGCTATACCAAATGCAAGGATTATTATTATTATTATTATTCACAAGATATTTCCACAAATACCTGTGATAATGCACTAAGCTTAGACAACGGTTGAATTGAGTTTTGTTTTTAATATTTTAGCTTCATTTGGTTCACTGGAATGCAGAAAAATTCAGAACGTTTGATGAAGCCATTTTTTCCGAAAATGGTCTTGCTGTCATAGGAGTGTTTCTGAAGGTAAATAACAAAAAGACAAACATAGAGTATTTGAATGCAACAATCCAACTGGAGCGATACGTGTATTAATCTACTTCTTTTGAAATCGTGAAACAAAATAAGTTCTATGAAAGTAACATAGACATAATTATATGGTTTATACAGTACAGAAATTCTTGATTTAGGTTGTAATGAGTCTAAAATTAATCATTTTTACTTTTTTTAAAAAAAAGCTTGGAAGAAAACATGATGGTCTACAGAAACTTGTAAATGCATTACCCGCTGTTAAATATAAGGTAAGTGTACGTGTGTGCCTGGATGATTTATTAATGTCCCAGTTATATTCATGTTAATTCTCTTCATTGGAGTGTGAAAACAACTCATATCTCTACAGTCCAAAGCCTGTGCATCAGAACATATGTCATCATTATCCTCCATGTGAAAAATCCAGTTATTGCCTCATTTCCAACTTGCCCTTCCTTAGCTTCGAGTCCTTGTTTGATCCCCTCTAAACAGGCATCTACCCTGTCCAATATACTACAGCATCCCTAGTCAACAACCTCTCTGCCTGTGACCAGGGCTCCCTATCACTCCTCGTCCTCTCTCGATTTTAATTTCATAAAAGTGAGAAATAATGTGCACTTTGCTGTTAAAAGTAGGAAGTCACTTTGTGGAAAAAGTCATCCTTTTTGGTTCAAAAGAAGTTCCTGCAAGTGTCTCGGGGCCATTTGTCACGTGCTTATTTACTTCCAAATGACAAGTTTACCTTTTCATGAAGCTGCTCGAAAAACTGCATTCCAATTTTAGGAGGATGGAGGTGAAAGAGGTAAATCGCACCCTCCTTAAATTCCATCTTCTGTCTGATTGGATTGACATTGACAGCAGTTGTAACAGAAGACCCTCCTACCCTCCATAAAAATCAGAGGGAGAGAAACAAATCTTAAAAAGTACGTATATTTTTTTTCCAAATCATGTATTTTCTAAGATGACCGACACCGCAAGAAATAGATCAGAGAAATACTAGGACACGTGACTTGATTTGATTGTAAATGTCCAATGAATGTTCAAGAAATCATATCATTGAGTACTGTTCGTATCTTGCACAAAGTAAAGGTCAAATGTGTGTATTTGCAGGACTCGACTGTTGAATTCTCAAACTTTGATCCGAGCTGCATGATTCCATCTTGTTTGGATTACTGGACCTATCCTGGCTCTTTGACCACGCCACCTCAAACAGAATCTGTTACCTGGGTCATTATGAAGAAACCCATTGAATTTGGTGATGATCAGGTAACTTATCTAAACTTCTTATCTATTAGAAGTGATTTTCGTTTTACTTTTTGAAATGATGTATCAAAGAAAAAAGATGGGTAACAGGTCTTATAATTAATTATACATTATTGTTGCAAAGCATTGCATTATCCACTCTGCGGCCATCTGTATGGGATTTGGGGCATGAATGGTTTCAGGTAAGACATTTAAGGCTAAAAGAACATGTTTTTGTTTTAGCAAACAAAGGAAAATATAAAAGATGAACAACAACAACAAAATTACATTCGTAAAGCGCCTTTCATGTCGGGAGGACGGGAATTAATAATATGAATTAAGCAGACATTTTTTCTCATTTTAAAATATGCTAGAAGTATTTTTGTAAGGTGAAAATATTCTAAACATGCCTTAAAATTAAGCTTGAAATAACTTTGGTTTCAATTCAATACCAATCGACTTCAAGATGTGGCAGAAAACTACTACTTGTATATGTCGTACACTTAAGAAATTTTGGAGAACAAGGTTCCAGTTACTTTGGTGTTATGCAAATATTAGTCTTCGGATTTTAATGATAACATCACCATGAACTGTCATGTGCCATAGAAATGCTGTTATGACATATTGTGTATGTCTTGATGTCTTGTTGCACTACTTGGAGATTAAACACACAAGAAAGACACAGTCGGATCCCAGGACTCTTGACACTGTTCCATCACTCAGAAATAAAGTACCCACATTACAGTGTAATTACAGTATAAAATAAAAGAAGTTTTTGAAAATATTAATAATTTAATATTAATAACTCGGTAATATTATAAATACTCAGTAAAATATTAAAACTCGGTATTGTCACAGTACAGAGAAAATCTCTGGCTCGCACCAAACCCCATTGCCTCTTATTTAGCTAAGATGGAATACTTTTAATTTACAATTAATTCATTTGCTTTACAGCTATCTGCGTTTCGTAGTTTGCTTTTTACTCCTTTTGGAGAAAAGCTGGAAAACATGGTGGACAACTTTCGACAACAGCAGCCTTTAATGAACCGTGTTGTGCGAGCGACAATCCTCCAGTAGTGAAGCAACATTTCCCAAAAGAACACACTCAGCTTGAGATCTGGAAGATAGCTCAAAAAAACATACAATAAGCCTTAATATATTCATATTGTGTTAAAAACTATTATTCCATAATGTCGGTGCATTCAGCTGACGTAAGTCATCAGTGGATTTGGACTTGACATAACCAAAGTTCACATTGTTTGCATGAGCTGCAAATGTTTTTATTGGCAGTATCAATAACAGAAAAATATAGTTACCAATCCGTGGAACAGAAAAATTAGTTTAGATTAGGCCATTCATCCCCTCAAGACTGTTCAGCCATTCTATTAGATCGTGGCTGATCTGTACTTCAACTCCATTTACTCGCCTTTGCTCCACATCCCTTCAAACCCTTACCTAACAAAAATCTATTGGCCTCAGACTTGAAAATTTAATTTTCAAATTGATAATGTGTCCAACTCTTCGAATTGAACCAGCATCCACAGCCTTTTGGGGGAGAGAGTTCCAGATTTCCACTAGCCTTTTGTGTGAAAACGTTTCATCTTTTCTTCTTGGTCTTTGTTTCTTTTCTTTTTCCCCGGTCTGTACTTTTATACAACTTTTATACCCATTTGTTTGTTTAACCCTTGCTTCAACTCACTAGCTGCAATACTGGATGGTCTATCTCAGAGATGCCCCTTTCTTGTTTTTAACCTTTTCATCCCACAAAAACTACCTCTTTAAAACATTTCTTCTACCTCTGACTACATTTCACTGTATTCATCAATACATGCATTTAGATAAGGAAGCTTGCAGCTTTCCACTAACACATACAGTGATTTGAGATAAGAAGGCTTAACTTTTTCCAATTATCATTTCATTATCCAAGGTCATTTCCTTATTACACACCAACAACCACTTCTCACCCAAGATATGGACCATCTGGTGGTGAACCCCGTTAATATGTCCAACCAAGCAAGGAAACGATAGCAAATATCTGTCAGGTCCACACCAATCAATGCAACCTCACTTGAAATCATAGCTGTACTAGGCACAGCAAGGATATCAGATGAGATGAGATGAAAAGATGAGATACTATTCATTCCTAGCAAAGTTACAAAAGTTACAAGGTCCAATCATCAGCAAAATCTCAATTAAGGTGAAATGGAATAGGTATAATAAAGGTATAGAAATACAATTGTTCAGTTTGGATCCCATAACAAATTGTATAGCAGCAAAACATCATAAAAGTTTCATTAGTCTGCAGCATAATTAGAAACATATGTGTCCCCTCTGGCAATTCCTAGCAAATGTATATATGCATCATTCTTATATGAAGAGACCAACTTGGCCCTGATGCTTCAATGTCTTAATGAACTTTTGAAACAAATATTTCAGTTTTTTAAATTTCACATGAGTTAGCTTTTAAAATGGTGCTTTTATCCTAATTACTTGTAGAGTCCAAAATGGAAATATGTCACCATGTTCTGCCTTGGTCTCCTGGTGTTCTAAGGAGGTTGTTAAACACAGGGATTTTTTTTTAAAAAATTGTTTAATATATTAATGCAATGATTGTAGTTCTCTAGTCTGCTGATTATTAATAGCATGTTTTGATAATAATTAGCATAATTGAATATTCTGTGATTAATATTGTAAAATGAACAATCTCTGTGGAATTGTGGCTTCAACTTAGCAGTAACTCTGCTATGTAACACGGAAATCACTGTACCTTCCGAATGCAGCTCATTCCTCCTTTTACTTTCCCAACTACAAATTCTGTTTAAGCCCCTTGGGACGTCCTCCCCATGTGAAAGGCATTATATAAATGTAAATTTGTATTGTATTGTGTTCAACTCAGGATGGGACCCTCCCCTGTCCCAGGCGATCATGCACTTAACGAAAAATTAGGCCAGCAATTACACTAAAAGTGCTTGGACTGTTAGCCTTTCTACTCCTTAACGGGATACCTCCCAGTGTACTTCTTCCTTAAGACAACCGGATTACTAAGGACTCTTGTAAAAATAATACTAAAATTGTGCAATATAATTATCAGTTAAAAATTAACTTCAGAAATGGTAGCATTAATATGCCCTCTTACTATTCAATGTAGTAGTAAAGGCAACAGCTGGGTGTCTGATACGTATGGAAATCCACTATTGTGCTTTAATACCTACAAAGCCCTCCATGGCCTCGCCCCACCCTACCTCTGCGACCTCCTACCCCCTACCAACCCGCCCACTCCCTCCACTCAGCCGGCTCCACGTGCCCCAACCATTGGCGGGAGCGCTTTCAGCCACTCTTCCCCCCCCCCCTACCTCTGGAATTCCATCCCCCAATTACTCCGCCTCGCCCCTCCTTAGCCTCCTTCAAGTCCCGCCTCAAGACCATCCTCTTCGACCATGCCACCAGTCATCCCCTTTCCCCTCCCCTCCCTTCTCCCTCCCTGACCCCAGCTCAGGTCTGAAATGCTGTACACTGTCCAGCGCCTTGGGACGTCCTCCCGAAGTGAAAGGCGCTATACAAATGTGATCTTGTTGTTACTGTTGTAGCCAAATCAGCCAGATATGTATGGAATTGATACAATACACATAGTCACTGCACTTTATGGTTTATCCCATGAAGCGCTTTGTGACATCCTCCCAACGCGAATGGTGCTGCACCAAATGTAAGGATTATTCTTAGTATTGTAAATTTCCATGTGTCGGTGGCATTCATACGTAAAACTCGCAGTTTGGTTTGAATACGCTTTAAGCTTGGTGATGGGTTTGGGGTAAACAAAGATGCATAGAACTTTCTCTCAGATATATAACCCAGTCTGACTACAAAAGAAAATGCCAAAAAAGGGTGAATAAACAATAGCCTTAGGAATTCCAAGCAGACGATGTTTTCTAACTTCCAAATAAACTTCTGAAATGTTCAGGAATGCGTGTGACTAATTTTATTCCTAATAACTTGTTTCATTTTCATTTTATTATAGTCCTGCACACAACAAAAAAAAAATGCATTACATTTCTCAATAGATTACGAAATAAAATGTCATGGGATTATTATCTGTGCATTCACCAAGCAATGGAGGAGTGGGATAGATCTTTTCATGATACTTTTAAGAGTGCCAAGGCAATTGCACATTGTGCCACCAGAGGATGCTGCGCACTGCATCATGCGTTTTATTCTGCAGCACAAGCACTTTATAAATAAAGTGTAACAGATAAATTTTGCAGCCCATTTCATTATCCTATATTCTTCCCGTGGGTTCAGTTCCCAAAATTAAATAAGGCGCTATATCAAATGCAAGAATTATTATTACTATTATTATGGACAAGAACAACGCTGCATGAAAATAGAGAGCCAAGCAGCAAGAGCTGAGCCCATTCCTAAAACAATGCGGGCGCTAAATTAAATGGGTTTACAAATATTGGACAATATCCTGATAATTTGCCATGCCACATTTGTGTGAGTACAACATTTCTTCTTAAAATAGCATTCCCTGTTTACTCACAGCAGAGGAATGTGGAAATGAAAACACATGAGAACAGAAGTAGAAAATACCAAACACACCTTGTGATTTAATAAACTATTCAAATGTTAGAACTGCGAAGTCCCCTGTACAAATTTTCCACAATTATTTGAATAACATTTGAAAAAGGCTGTCTAAAGTGTACAGTTGTAAATGAATACTGTGCTTTAAGATTCCTAAAAGTGTACTTTCTCCAGTTCTGTTTCTATTGAAGCTCATTATATTTCATATTATACAACTTAGAGGTAACTTGTTCGCATTCATTTTTTGGTGATAAACCAATAGATACTTAATCAGCAGATCAGTGTCCTACACTTTTCACCATTGGTGTTCTAACTTTATCTGAATTGGTCTGTTCAATTGCTCACTATTCACTACCTGATCCAGTCAGAGAACACTTTCGTTCTTTAAACTGTCACACAATACTGTCAGGCAAACATAAATCATGATTATTATGTTTGCCCTTATATTACTGCATCGTACTTTCCATGATCTTTGTTATTGCATTGAGACATGTGAAAGATGGGGAATAAGGAATGAAAAATTAGATGCCGAGTCTCTGGGCTGCTTCGTGAACTTCTGACATTGGTATTCGGTACAGCCCAAGTGGGACAGGGAGCAAGTTCCTCTTAGCATAATCTGACTAGAAAGGAAAGTATAGTTCAAGATGGAGGGAAATTAAGTGGAACTTCACAGGAAGCTCCAGGGTGCAGATGACTAGTGGGCAAATCATGCAACTAGCTGTGAAATCTGTATCTCTTATTGCATCATTCTGGATATCTGTTTCAAAATGGTTTGTTCACAAAAAATAATTTCCTCTAAACCATTCTACGGTTTCACTCTAATTGATAAAGGATGGCAAGTAAGTTTAGTAGGATGTCGACTTGCTCCCTTTGATGACATTTTATTTATTTATAAATATCTGTATTTTATTTATAAATCTTTGTATTTTATTTATAAATATTTGTATTTTATTTATAAATAGTTTAATTACTCCAATTTACAATACATTCTGTGAAGCGCTTTGAGATGTATCAACAATGTGATAAGGCGCTATATCAAATTCAAAGATGATGATGATTTTAATCATTTTAATCTGTTTGTTCTTGTCAATGTCTTAACAACAAATTGCATTTATGTAGCACTTATATTTATTAACCTGATGTTCACACTTATCTGGCCTAAAGTAGGTCTCTTTCTTCCTTCCTCCTTTCCCATTTCCATCTTTTTAAATTGGAATTTTCACGACATTATTGGGTTAAAAGAGTAAAGGTGATTCAACAAAACGTAGTACCTGCAACTAGTAACTACATAACAAGATTTGGAATTGATCCAGATTGTACTTCAATGGAATTGAAATTACAGAATCGTAAAATTTTCCAGCACAGGTGGCCATTCAAAACAACATGCCTGTGCTTGCTTTTTGAAAGAGCTATTCAACTAGTTCCATTCCACCCCTCTTACCCCCATCGCCCTGCAAATTTTTCCCTTTTTGTGTACCTAATTCCCGTTTGAAAGCTATTATTAAATTAGTCACTTCTGCTGTGTGCAGTTGGCTGGCGCATTTCGCCCACAAATATACAGTCAATTCACTTTACAGTCTATTCTGTGAAGTGCTTTGAGACGTCTAGGAGACGTGAAAAGGGCTATATCAAATCCAAGGATTATTTTTATTGTTATTATTATCGAATCTGCTGCCACCACCCTTTCAGGTAGTGCATTCCAGACCGTAACAATTCTGGGTAAAAAAAATTCTCCTCGTCTCCCCTCTGGTTCTTTTGCCAATTATCTTAAATCTGTAAAATGGATCTAATGTTGTATATTCTGCTACCACAAGAGGTCTAAGAGTCCGTCACTTGGTTCTAGATTATGGTTGCATCACCCTTTCACGTGCATTCGGTGTAGATGCCATTGCAAGTGACTGAAGAACGAAATCATCACAAACAATTGGAGTGAAAAGGATGTTCGTACAGGAGCGAATTGGCCTTGTTCATACATTACCCACTCGGATCAGGTCACCAATATTTGCTCAAGTCTTCGGTCGTTTATCTTTCGATCAGATGAAAAAAAAAGCACTTCTGGCCCAGTTAGACTAAAACTAATTAGAATGAAAGAACTCGCATTGTCACAGCACATTAACTCGTCAAACATGTCAAAGTGCGCTCAAATTGCTTTTAAACAAGAAGAGTTTATCCCAACCTTCCAAAATGGACAACATAAACTGTTGGATTAACGTGATGGTGTTTCAAGGAGAAACATTGGAAGAAATATTTGGTTAAAAAANGATTTGACTAGGTGGAAAATAGTGAAAAGGTTAGAATTGGAAATATTCAGACGCCGTCTGGGGTGGGGGGGGCACTATATAAACCCAAGTTGTTGTTGTTACTGTACAAATAACTAAAATGTACATTTATTCTGAAATGATTGATTTGGCGGATGCATTTATTATCGTCTTCGCCACCAACATGATCAAGCCGGCTTTCCCCCGCTGTACCCAGAATTGTTACGGTCTGGACAGGAGGGCCTCGGTCTTGTTGACATCCCGACCGAAGAAACTTCGCTCTCATCCTGCGCTTGACGTGCGTCCGACGGACATCGGGGTCAGGGCAGCAGTGGTCCCGCAGTGGACCGGGTGGGAGGGGGTGGTGGTGGAGTCCAGGGTAGCGGCAGAGACGTCTTGCGCCTTCACCTGGAAGGCTCTACAAGAGTAGACACGCGCACACAACACACCTAATATATACCTGTGTGTGTGTGTGTGTGTGTGTGTAAGATACTGCAGGAGGTGTGGGAACTCACAAGCACAGCTGAGGCTCTTATCTGCATCGTGGCACAGAACATCTACCAACCTCTCAGGCACAGTCACTTGCTGATCCTGTTTGGTGTTGCATCATTCCGGACACATAAGTCCACAGTGCCAATAACCTGCCGGATTTAGAGTGGGTGGTGGGTGGGGGGTGATGTAAAGAGGAAGGGGAGTCAGAGAAATAAAAGGAGGGACTGAAATTTGCAATTTCTTACAAGCTGCTTTTTTCTCTCTCTCTCTCTCCTCCTCCTCCTCCTCCTCCTCTCTGAATGTGCATTATTTTTATATATATATCTCAAGCAAAAAGGGGGGGGAAAGGCCACCCTCTACATCTGTGGGAAGGTTTCTGCCATTTCTTAATACTGCACCAACTGGAGAGAGAGAGAGAAGAGAAGAGAGGAAGAGATTGAGAGAAAAGAGAGAGAGAGAGATTTAAGAAAAGCCCAGAGAGAGAGAGAGAGAGAGGAGAGAGAGAGACAGAGCTGTTTGGTTGCAGTGATAGATACAGGAGCGAGTGAGTGAGTCAGTGCTATTGAGAGAGGGAGAGGGAGAGGAGAGGAGAGACAGACAGAGAGAGGGGAGAGATAGATAGATAGAGAGAGAGAGAAAAAAAGGAGGGATAGATAGATAGATAGTAGATAGATAGATAGATAGATACAAAGAGGAGAGGAGAGGGAGAGATAGAGAGCAGAGGGTGAGAAAGAAGGAGAGATAGATAGGATAGAGAGAGGAGAGAGAGAGAGAGACAGAGAAGGAGAGATAGAAAGAGGAGAGATAGAGAGAGAGAGAGAGAGAGAGACAGTGAAGGAGAGATAGAGAGAGAGAGAGACAGTGAAGGAGAGATAGATAGATAGATAAATAGATAGAGAGGGAAAGAGGAGAGATAGATAGAGAGAGAGAGAGAAAGAAAGAAAGAAAGAGAGATCACAGCCCTCCCTCCCTCCCTCTCTCCCTCCATCGACATGTCCAACGCGAGGAAGAGGAGCTCGGGTTCGCCCCGAGAGGAGGAGGAGGAGAAGGAGAAGGAGAACGGCACCGACGGACCAGGAGGAGGAGGAAGAGGAGGAGGAGGGGAGGAAGAGGTGAAGGAGCGCATGTTGGCGGCGGCGGCGGCGAACGGGGAGCCGCTCACCTCCCGGCGGCGGCGGCGGCGGCCGAACGGCGGCGAGAAGGAGGACCGAGGAGGAGCGGGAGCGGGAGCGGCGGCGGCGGCGGTTGACGATGAGGAGGACGGAGGAGGTGAAGACGAAGAAGCCGCCGAGGGCGAGCCCCGGGAGGTGGCGCTGAAGCAGACCATCACCCTGACGAACGGGGTGGCCATCGTGGTGGGCACCATCATCGGCTCGGGCATCTTCGTGACCCCGACCGGGGTGGTGAAGGAGGCGGGCTCGGTGGGCTTCTCGCTCGTCGTCTGGTCGGTGTGCGGCGTCTTCTCGACGGTGGGCGCCCTGTGCTACGCCGAGCTCGGCACCACCATCAGCAAGTCCGGGGGCGACTACGCCTACATCCTGGAGGTGTACGGGCCGCTGGTGGCCTTCCTCAAGCTGTGGGTCGAGCTGCTCATCATCAGGCCCAGCTCCCAGTACATCGTGGCCTACGTCTTCGCCACCTACATGATCAAGCCCGCCTTCCCCCACTGCCCGGTGCCCGAGCAGGCGGCCAAGCTGCTGGCCTGTCTGTGCATCAGTGAGTCCCCCCCACACACACACACACACCCCGGGGAGGGAGGGAGGGAGGGAGGGGGGGAGGGAGGCCTCTTCTGCTGCTGCTGCTGCTGCTTCTTCTCGTTCGTCTCCTTCCTCCTCCTCCCGCTGTCACCGCCATCGCCATCGTCGTTTTCACTCCTCTCTCTCTCACTCCTCTCGCTCTCATCTCTCACTCTCTCATCTCTCTCTCTCTCCGCTCTCCTCTTCCCTCCCCCTCTCTCCATCTTTCTCTCTCTCTCTCTCATCTCTCCCCTCTCTCCACTGTCCTCTTCCCTCTCTCTCTCTCTCTCTCCACTGTCCTCTTCCCTCTCTCCACTCTCTCTCCACTGTCCTCCCTCCCTCTCTGTCTCGTCTCTCTCTCTCTCTCCACTGTCCTCTTCCCTCTCTCCACTCTCTCTCCACTGTCCTCTTCCCTCTCTCCACTCTCTCTCCACTGTCCTCCCTCCCTCCCTCTCTGTCTCGTCTCTCTCTCTCTCCACTGTCCTCTTCCCTCTCTCTCCACTGTCCTCCCTCCCTCTCTGTCTCGTCTCTGTCTCTGTCTCTCTCTCTCTCTCCACTGTCCTCTTCCCTCTCTCTTTTCATCCCCACACACACACACACACCCTACACACAGACACACACACAGACAGACACAGACATCCCCCAAAACTCGTGGCGCAACGTGCGCGCACCAAGTGTCAAACGCAGCGATTGCTTTCCGGGGCTCTCGGCTCTCAAAGCGCAGAGAGAGAGAGAGAAAAAAATGTCTTTTGGGTTTTACGCTGTAGCTGAGGCTTTCGGCGTTTCATTCATATATATATATATATATTATTTATTTTTTTTGGGGGGTGTGTGTTGGTTGTTGTGCCAAATGCTGTGCTGGAGAGATGGAGTCTGATCCCCACGTGCGACCCATTGCATTGCTCTTCCGCGTTGCATTAACCATTTAATTGCGCAACTTGTGGTTCCTCCACTCCATTCATTCCCTCTTCCTTCCTCACATGGGTTCAGCAATGACTTTCATTGTGTGTGTGTGTGTGTGTGTGTATACGTGTATACAGTGCGTGTGTGTGTGTGTAAAAAAAAGAGGCTATATTCCCAGGAGGAGACCCTGGTTTGACTCCCTGGTTGGGCGAAACCTTGGCCAAGTTTTCCTTTCTCCCCAATCCCCCCTTTACCTAACAGTAAACTGTTTACCTAACAGTAAGCAGCAACCTGGTGGTTAGGCGACCGGCGGAGCGCTTTCGCATGGGTCATAATCTCCTCAAAACAAAATAGTCACAATACTATTCTGTGAAGCACTTTGAGGCGTCTCAATTACGTGGTAAAGCGCGGTGTCGGACGCAGGGGTCGTATATCTTTCACTCCGATGTAAGAGTTGATACGCGGGGGGGGGGGGGGGGGCGGGGGGGAGTTATGACGGTGGACGCTTAACTAGGATCTGTCTGCGCTTCTTCTGCCACTCTGCTCCCACCCTCTGGAACTCCGTTCCGCAGTCCCTCCACTTCGCCCCTCCCTTGCCTCCTTCAAGACCCGTTTCAAGACCCTACTCTTCGACCGTGCCATTCGTCATGCCCCTACCCTCCCCGATCCCAACCACCAGCTCTGGTCTGAAACACTGATTGTCCAGCGCCATGGGATGTCCTCCCGGCGTGAAAGGCGCTATACAAATGTAATTTTGTTGTTGTTGTTGTTGTTGCACTTTCCAAGCTGTGAGTTTTGAGAGCGACACGCGACAACCAATTGTGCACAGCAGTATCCGACAAACAGTCGTAAATTAAGGGGTGAAACTCACACCAAGTCAAGCACTTTGAGATGCCTCGACGACCTGATAAGGATTTATTTCAAATGCAAGGATTATTATTATGAGTTCAATCCACCAGTTGCGCAATTCAAATCTAAATGCAAAGTGATTAAGTGAGACGCCTAAATTTAGCTCCCCTTCTCCGCTGTCTTTTTTCCTTCCTCCCTCTTGCCCCCTCTATTCTGCTCATTCTCGATTTATATATACATTGTGGGGTTACTTAGGCACCAACAGCTCTATAGTTTGTCGCCCAAGTGTTTTTTTCTTGTGTGAATCCAGTCAGTGATTTTCTGTAAGCTATTCTGCTGTTGAATGAATGGCCATCACATCTAAACCTGATCCTCTATTCATTCCAATACTGACTTCTTTCTCAAAAGTTTATAATGACTCCCTCATTGAAATCGTTCATTCATTTCATGTGTGCAAATTGACTGCTGCCTTTGCCCACAAAATACATAATGAGCACATATTACAGTAAATCGCTGCATCACTTTGAGACTTAGTTCTGACATAGAAGGCACTATATGCAACAATGATGATTATTATTATTGCGAAGCAGTGGAAACTGGATCAGTATTACAAAAAAAAGGGGATTGCGCTGTATTGTTTGTATTTTAACTTTTTGGTGTGGAACAAATTTCTACATTAAACATTACTTGTCCCTCCACATACGTTTGATAAAATTTAGCACTTCAACCACATCAGAATCCTAAGCAAAAGCTGATTTTTAACAAAAATAAATGGCAAAATGTTTATGATATTAGAAAAATGACACATTCAACGTTTTCTTCTATATAATTATCCTTGCATTTGATATTGTGCCTTAACAAACGTCTTCAAGACATCTCAAGTCATTTCACAGGATACATGTTAAAGAAGTTTTATTCCTAAAGACTGACTCTAACTTTTAAATTGTTGTGGCTTGTACTTTTCTCGATAATATAACTTCCACATGATCCTTTAAAACGTAATCACTGAGTGGTATATCTAGCATGTACAATGCAGGTGGGCAGTTCAGTTGGTGCAATGCAAACATCATTTGCCCCTTTAGTAGACTGTCACAAATTAGTGTTTGTTATCTTATTATTGTGAATGACATAGATGGTTTTAAGTTATGATTGAACCTGTGACTTTCTGGTTTGTGTTTAGTGCTACAGCACATGATGCATTTACTCCCTTGGCCTTTGAGGGAACCTGCAAAATGCATTGCAAATGCAATGTATAGTCCAATTCCCTTTTGATCTTCCTGATTCTATATCAATTAATAATAATAATCCTAGCATTTGAAAAAGCGCCTTATCACGTCTTCGAGACGTCTCAAAGCGCTTCACAGCATATACTGCAAAGTGAATTGACTGTATATTTTATGGGCGAAATTAACATTACACAAGGCATTCCCAATAATAAATGAAGGTTGCATTTTGATGCAATTCCTTTCACATTAGGAGGAAAGGGTAAAATCACTCCATCAGATTCACTGTAACGAGCACGTATTGTTCCTACTAAATTGAAGTCTCAGCCCATCACAACCGGGTAAAAGAAGAATGTGTTCTTGTATGTTTCTTTATATTTGTAAAGCTATGGTGAACACGATAAATTTTAAAACCAATTGATGTAACATTAAAAACTTGGATGTTCTTTCTAAAGTGTTTGACAATATTTAGGTGCTTTACCCTTTTTTAAAAAAAAGTAGCAGAATACCTTTATCAAACCTTTTGACTCCTTGTTGCACCTGCATGACTTCAGTCCTAAATGCTAATTTTATAAGATCTGGCGTTTCTATCTCTTATCCACCCTGGTGACGTTTAAAACAGTCAGGACTACTATATGTCAATTTACTTCAGACAAGGGACAAAGGACAAATTAAACCAGTGAATAAGGTTTTGTGAGCACCACTTCACCATTCATTGAATGTTTCTTCAGTGTGAGCCCAGAAAGTGAGCATTACAGGTAAATTGACTATGGAATGTATTACAGCTCAGCCCGAATTTGTTCTCGTCCCTTGTCCCAAATCGGGAGCAAACTTGTTTGGAGTTTGTTTTTTCCTTAGCCCGGGGAATGCTGAATCTAGCTGTAAGGTAACAGTTATCAGTTCAAAGGTGGATGTTTTCAGTGGGTGTGTGCCTCAGGCAAATGAAATAGGAGGGAGCACAATGAATTTTAAAAAAAATGTCCTTGCTCCGCACGCTTCTTGTTTACCCAACAGTAATAGGAACCCAGTTGTTAATCGATCAGCAGATTGTTCCCAGAGATAACCCTTTTTTTAAAAAACAATTTGATCACTCAATCCACGACTGTGGGACACTGCTGTGCACAATTGGTTGCAGTCAATTCACTTTACAGTATATTCTGTGAAGCGCTTTGAGATGTCTTAACAATATGCTGAGGTGCTATATCAAGTACAAGGAATATTATTCTATAATATGTTATAATCCATGCATTTGGCATTGTGCCTTTCACGATGGGAGGAGATCTCAAAGAGCTTCATGGGATTGATAGTAAAGTAGTGACTGTGTAATTGTAGGCAAAATATTAACATTTGTAGAAAACAATTGTGAGTTTTATCTTCCTTATTCTGGCTTCCCACTATGTATGATATGCTTGATATTCATTTTAATCCAACATAATGTGGCTCGCCAGATAAACATGGCAAATAATTTTAGCCAACAGATTCTTTTGACACAAATTCACGAGAGAAGAGGCAGGCCTATTGTGACCAATGCTCACCATGAGTAATTTTAACTGTTTTATGTAAATAAAGGTCTTTTGAGTTGTGGAAATTCTGTTTCCAGAATAATGACATTATTGCTTTATGGTTGAGGAAGATTAACAACCATGATGCAAATTTGTCTGATGCAAGTTTGCCATAACCTTGCATGAACAATGGAATGACTCATGCAGTAGAAAAATGACGCTACGAGTAAATTTGTATGGTAAATTGAACCATGCTTCGCAAACATGAATGAAGATTCATTGTGCGATACTTACCTATATGTAAGAAATAAGAACCCGGTTGTTAGTCGATTGGCGGATCGTTTTTGCAGGGGTAATAATTCCTTAAAAACATTTTTTAAAAAATTATAAATTGGTCACTCAATCCACATCTGTTTGTGGGACACTGCTGTGCGCAATTGGCTGCCGTGTTTGCCTGGAAAATACAGTCAATTCATTTTACAGTATGTTCTATGAAGCGCTTTGAGACATCGCAAAGTTGTGATAAGGCGCTATATCAAATGCAAGAATCATTGTTATTATTTATACTGTCTCTTTTTCTTCTATTCCCCCCCTTTTCCCTAGTGTTTCTCACAGCGGTGAATTGTTACAGCGTAAAAGCAGCGACAAGAGTACAAGACATTTTCGCTGCAGCCAAACTGCTGGCTCTGGCTCTCATCATTATTGTGGGCTTTGTGCAGATCGGCAAAGGTGAGTGCTTCCTTATGTTCTGGTTGTTACAGATTTTATTGATTAAATTAGGTTAATCAAATCTGTTGTTCTAGTCATGGAAAGTTACATGCAAATTAAAACAGGGTAAAACATTGTATAATCCTGCCAACAATAGGGCAAGGGGCTTGCAGCAAGTCCCAATTTGCTGAGCGGAGGCAGCAAGCAGCAGAGTGGGGCAGCAGAAGATCATAGAGATACGGAGGTGCGTGGGCGTGAACACAATTTAATACAATATTTTGAATGATGTTTGCGTAATGGCAGAGGTTCAACGACTAAAACTATATTTAATAGATGGTGAAAGATGACTTACTATTTATTGTGATAAGAATTAGGAACTGCTTTAATTGTTCACTATATTTTTCTTTTGCGTTTAGTGGTAACAAAATAAGCGTAAAACCAGTCACGGTGAACAGTTTCATTGCCTTTGGCAAGTGAAGTCCTGTAGCTCAGTGGTTAAAACACCCACCTCACAAGCAAGAGACCTGGGTTTGATTCCTGGCAGAGGGAAATGTTTTTCAAGTTTCCTTACTCCACACTCCCCTGTTTACCTAGCCATAAGTAGGAACCCGGTTGTTAGTTGATTGACTTTTCCGAGGATAATAATTCCTTCAAAAAAATATAATAAATTTGTCACTTCAATCCACGACTGTTTGTGAGACACTGCTATGCGTAATTGGCTGCCACATTTCGCCCACACAATATACAGTCAAGTTACTTCACAGTATATTCTGTGAAGCGCTTTGAGACGTCTCAAAGACATGGTAAGTTGCTATATTAAATGCAAGTGTTATTATTGTTAGCATTTACAAGATCTATGTGCCTGAGTACAGAAATACGATTTTATGAGGTCGCTTATAATAATAATAATCCTTGCATTTGATATAGCGCTTTTCACGTCGGGAGGACGTCCCAAAGCGCTTCACAAGAGCACACTGTAAAGTGAATTGACTGTATATTTGTGGGCGAACGCGGCAGCCAATTGCGCACAGCAATGTCCCACAAACAGTCGTAGATTGAAAATGACCAATTTATTATTGTTTTTTGTTTTGGAGGGATTATTACCAGGGTCAAGTATCTTGGCATGGTATTTGACTAGCACCAGACCAGGCCTCTGCTAATGCTTCTGTACAGCTGGCTATTAGGGATAGCATAATTCTATGAATTCTATGCCGATTCAGTTTATTTTCTCATCATGTGGGGAAGCACCTGGTTTCCACTTACTGCCTTCCCACAAGGAATACTTAACAGCCCAAGGTCTCTCTACTTTTTCCCGTATTGATCTAAATTTCTCTTATGATCTTGTGACTGTCAGGATCTGCATTAATTTCCATTGCTGGTTGTTGAGTACCTAAGGAGGAATGACTATGGACTGACCCATTGCATGCAAGCTTCAAACAGCTGAACGAACACAGTTTCTGAGCTCAGAATTCTTTTTTATAGCTTGGACTTGGCTGCAGCTTATTGAAAAAGAATGACGGCTATTGTTTTTTGTGGGGGAAAAAAAGCTCCCAAAAGCTATATCCATAAATAAAAATGAAGTATGTTTGATTTGTAGCACAGCCCTGAGATGAGGACAGAACAATCTGTAATGTTCAAGCTACAGTAATCCGTATAACTTACATTCTGTCACATGAACAAGCCATGTTACTCATGCACAAAACTGATTATAAATTATAATTTATAATTATATTATATTTATAATCTTTTATATTTTATAATTTATGATTATAAATCTGATTTATAGGTTATAAAGCTCCCAATTCTGCCTTAAGTCTATGTCAATCTTCATTAAGTAAATTAAGCTATCGACAAAGCTGCTTTCTCTTGTCAGAAGTTCTTTGAAATAACAACTAAACATTGCTTTTTGCACCAAGTCATTAAAACATTACAATAGTTTCCAAAGTAGTTGGAAGTCGTAACAACTGCAGTAACATGCCCAGAAGTTATCTTGAACTGGCATCTGAATGGCTGGAAACTGCTCACGCAATGCTTGTTTGCGGCAACAGAAATAAATTCTTGTCATTTTACCATTTTGTTGGCGCTCAATCCTTAGCCAAAACAGATAAAGATAGATGTCTGTCTGTACAGCAACTGAATGTCAGGTAGGTTTCAAGACTGACCTTGCATGATCTCAAGTCATTCTTCTGCCCGTTTTATTCTGCAGCACATTTGCGACAAATTGCTGCAGAACATTTGCGGCAAATGTGCGGCACCTAAGAAATACTGATTGAAATCTAATACTTACATACTTCGCACCTGCGCGCCAGAATTTTAAGAAGCGTCACGAGGAAATGGCCTTGTGATAATGTTGGTGACGTTCTGCCCAGTGCGTCATCTTGAAGGAGGCCATCTATACAGAGGCCGATTTCTGAAAGAATTCTACCCAAAGCATCAGGAAGCAACTGTAAACCATTAAGGTACGGTGTGTGCACCCATCCATGGTCTTGAAGAGACTGACCAAACCTATTGGAGATATCCTCTTCATCCCCAAAAATTGGGATGGACCCATATTTGGAGATACCCCCACCCACCCATTCAAATCTGGGACCCAGGCTTTTAATACATGCCCAGTCCAAACTCCAGAAATTCGGCCACTTCTTACTCCCATCTACTGCCCTAAACCAAAGAAAACCAAGTGTAGCTAAACATCTGGGGGGTTGAAGCCGGCTGCAAATAGGGCAGGAGTGATTGGATGTGGATCGTGCGGTAGTGACTAAGGGAGAACGGAACAATCTGGTCTTTGCATACATGGAAATCAACAAGAGAAATTTCTCCAAACACCAGTGAAGGAATAGGAAAATAAGTAGATTATGCCCTGAAGAAGAAAGCATGGAATGTAGCCAGTGCTTCAATCTTCAGGGCAGTTTGCCAAATGGCATTTTCTTTCATCTCTTGTCCTGTTTGCAACGATATAGTTGTTGCCATGAAAGATTTATCAAGAGTATCACTGTATGCAGAGGGCATCTTCCTATATGTCCCAAATCCCACCACTTACCTCGCCTGCATCTTCCAAACCATGGAGGAATTAGTGGAACTTTCTACCAAGTCTGCTTTAAAGGACATTCTTCCCAACCTCTTCCAAAACAATTTTATGCAGAGTTTAACAGATAAATCAGACTTTCCATCTCCTTGTTGAGCCAGATAAATATCAACAAAGGCATAACCAAATAAGCAGAGCTCTGTAAAAGGAAGATCTGAATCTTCCCAGCTCTAAATATAGCATCACACCAAGGAATAAGCATTTTGGCGTGGAATTGATGCAGAAAAAAAAGAATTGTTCCTAAAAGTATGGTGAATCTCATTAAATCATCATTGTAACCTTATTTTTCTGCTTTTATCAATACTGCAGTAGTTGTTCCCAAGGTCATAGAGTTCTATAGGTTCGTAGTGATTAGTCTACATGGAAGTGACAATCTCAGCAACCTGAGGCAAGGGTGTAAATACTGCCAAGCAAATCTGAACCCAAAAAAATTCAGCCATTATTATTTACACGTAAATGTCCTGGAATAGTTACATTCTCTTTTTATCAACTTGATATAATCTGGTTGACTAAAACAATGACATTATCAGCTTCACACAAATGGAGCCATTGTAACATGCAGAATATTTATAACAATACAAAACTCTATTAGCATAGTGCTCCCATGTTGCAATTTATTCCCTCTTTTAACACAAACCAGAAACAACTCAAGGTTGGGACCTTCTGATAATACAGAATTGAAGGATTGTTGTTGCAGCAGATTTTACTAAGCTTGGCTTTAATCAGATTAGTTAGAAACCTGCTGGTCTTGTGTAATTACTTGTTAGATCAGAGGTAAGCTGAAACGTATTGAAATTTATTAATGTGAACTGAAACTTACTGTTTTATGATTATCTACTTTCATCTTCCTTCCTCCCCCCCCGTCTCTCTCATACACACACACACTCGCACACACTTTCTGCAAAGCAAGATTGTTCATGCCTTGAGCACGGACAGTAAATGTCAGCAGCATCTGTATGGCCATTAGGAACCAAGTCTGCCCTAACTCCCAGCTGCCACCCCCGCAGCTTCCAACCCCCAACCCAAACCACACCTCAGGCCCCCCCATCCCCAAGTCCCCAGGCCCAAACTCCCAGCCCTTCAAGCCCTCACCTAATAATCCCACATGTTCTTTCCATCAACCACAACAACTTGCATTTATATAGCATCCCTAGCGTCCCAGAGTGTTCCATCAGACTCCTTCCTTCACAACAACTACTTGCACCCTTCTCGCAGGTAACATCCCAGAACACTTACCACTGTCACGACTGACAGCAACCGAGGCTCTTGCTGTGATGCAATCAATGACTACCACATGACACATTCACCAGCAGCACTAAGATCTCAGAGCAAGGGAAGGGATTCAGGCATATTTGTGTACTGAGAAAACATTTGCACTTGCCTTTCTCAATCAACAGGGCTTAATTTTGCTGTTGACAATGGCTATTATTGCTCCGTCAACATTAACTGACAACAGACTCCAATATGATCACTGCATGCTCAGTAAAAGTGCTGTGTTCATATATGACTGCATCTCTACATGGCTTAATGTCATCAGAATTGGCATCTACAAACTGAGCCTGTTTCAATAATGGCAATAAACGTGCAAACCCCATAACATTTTTAAAAGTAGGTTGCATGCTGTCATTATTCAATGCAATAGTTCCTCCTGTTCCCCTCACCCCAACCTTCTGTTACCTACTACCTGATGTGAGCATCAAGTTCTCTCTTACTTACATTGATTACCATTTGCTTCAACCATAGCTTATGCAGTGCTTTCCACATTCCCATCATGCTCTTACTTAAAGTTCTTTTTCTCTCTCCCCCCACCCCCGACCACCACCAACCCAGAAATACTCAAACTGCACGGTAGGTCAATCAGCATCCAATAGCGCTAAATAGGTTGACATTGCACTGCAAGTTGGTTTTGTTTTGAAAGAGTATTCTGCTCACTGCTTTT